ATAGGGAGTAAGAATAACATCATGCCTATGTTAAATTACATCTTACCCTATACAAAAAATAAATAAAGGAACACTCACAATAAGTTCCATTTTGTTTAACTATTATACATTAAATAGCAAGCCATATTAACCTATAAATGTTGTGGATTGAACAACGGATGACAGGTAATTTCCCCTAAAAAACAAGTAAATGTCAAGAAAGAGATTGAACAACAATAATTTCAATGAAAAAATATTAATTTCATTAGGTTTGATCTCTCTTTATATTAAGTACAATAAAAAAGATAAACAAAGATCATAAGGCACCCCACATCAAAAAATAGACTATGAGGGGTAAGAATGATATCATACCCATGTTAAACTACATCTTACTCTATACAAAAAATAAATAAGGGGTATAACTGTAAGTTTACTTTAAAATACAATTAAATTTTCATTCAATCTTCTAAGAGAATTCCTTGATCAGCATTTTCTTGTAGTTCACTTGAGTTATGTGACGCAAGCAAGAGCTTCTTGACTCAAACTTATTTTTTTCTCCTCTTTAGACAAAACCTTATGCTTCTATGTGTCTAAAACATTATGCTTGAAATAAAAATTATTAGCCATCACAAGTAGGCCATTCAAGCATTAATTGATCACTACATTATGAGGTGACATTTAGAAAACCTTCTCTTCAAGGTAGAAGAATCAAATATTTAAAAAAGAATAAAAATGAAGTTGGTCTCAGTTACATAGTTTCAGGGATTCTTTCAAACTACTGAAGGTAAAAAAAATTCAAAAACTTGTGCAGGAGTGATGAGATGAACTAAAATATTTTTCATGATCACATTTTATAAATTGTAGCATGTGTGAACAGCAATCATTCTTCATTTAGAACAAGAAAGCAAGCAACACAATGAAATTTTTTCAAGCCTATTATAGTACCTGAAAATGGTTTTGGAAACTCAATATTAGATGGAAATTTTCAATAGATTTTTAGCAATGCATACATTCTCAAAGAAAAATGAAATTTTGACACCACCAACAATGCTTGAACAAGAAGGGTTAATGAAGAAATCCACTTACAATGAAGTCATGTTTTAAAGACAAGCTTTCTCAGTTTAAGGCTTAAAATCATAATTCATATCACATCTAAATTGAAAATTTGTTTGAATTCATAAATGAACAAAAAAGGAATGCAATAATTAAGGTGAATATTATATACATGACAAAACAATCAAAAAAACCCATTTGCTAGTATTTGCTAGTATTATATCTTCAAGTTTAATGCTGATGATGTAAAGTCCCTTAATTCATCCGAACTTTACTATTTTAAATAGACAATCACAATACAATAACAATACAATATCATAGTAATAGCCCTCAATTTATTGTTAAAATGCGGGATCCTGATTTCATCAAAAGTAAGTTCACATAAGAGGACTAATAGAAGTGTAAACATAAATCTCAAGACTCAATAAGGCACAACCACTTTTTGAGAAACATGCCATGCATCATGACTCATACCACCATGCACCACGACTTGTGGTACAGAGCAACATGCCCTATTTCTCTCTGTACAATGCTCCGCGGCATGGCACACAAAGCACCACAGTACATATGATAGTAAATTTTGCTATCATATGATAGTTCAAAAGGCAAACTTTTATCATTCACCAATTTCACATCCAACATCCGATTAGAGTGATTCAAAAGCCTACATAAAGCTTGCAACATATTCTATCTAATAAGATAAGTTTGGATACAATCCAACAGTTAGATCTAAAATTAGATACATGGGTGTAAAAAGCTACTTTTTCTTTCTAAAACTTGCACCCTAAGTGTTCAATTCTCATTCCTTATCCTATTAGACCATTTTAGACCTTGAACCAAGTTTAAAAGGACCATATATGCCCAATTAACATTACAAACACATATATCACATCATATACTTATTTTGACCTCTCAATGCCTCATTACACACTTGTAGGCTTATATAAGGCATAATACATTTAACCATATACACATATATACTTATTCCCCTTTAATCATCCAACTTCCTCATATGAGGCTAAGTCTTACTATATGGTCAAGAATCACAAATATACTCAACTCTTATAAATAGGGCTTAGCCTTACCATTTTTGTCAAGTTCACACACACATATACACACATAATTTCACAAGAAGTTATCTAATAAGATACACTTGCTTGATTGGAATTTAAGCCTACCCATGTACCCACTACTGTGGTACCCTCAGTGAGATGTAGAATCATATACACAAGCAAGTTTTCAACCACAATTCATATACATGTTCACATATTCATATTCACTTACACTTATGCATCCTAGTTGGTAACTCGGATCTCTAATAACAAATTTATGCATTCATTATATAACTAGGTAGTCATACCACTACCACTAGAGGCTACTCTTTTCTTGCCTCCTTTCCTGGCTTTCTTGTGTTCTCTTCACTTGTGTACAAAGGTAATTGGGATGTATGTCATACTCTATTACTCTTAAACACAAGTGAAGAGAGTAGGAGAAGGTTACGAAAGGAAGCAAGGAAAGAATAGCCTTGATTAATAGTGATATGACTATCATTAAATGAAATGAATGTATAGATGTGTTTTTAGAGTTTGAGTTGCCAACTAGGATGCATGAATTTATGTGAATATGAGGAAGTGAGTTGTGTTGTGAAACTTGCTTTTATATAGTATATGATGTTGCATTGTGTCGAAGGTATCTTAGTGGAGGATATGTGGGTAGGCTTAAATACGAAACAAGCAAGTATATGTTGTGTTGTAACTTGTTCCACTTGTGTATATATATGTTGATTGTAATTTGAATGTGAATTGTGTTGTTATGTGAACTTGACATAAATGATAAGAACTTGACACAAATGGTTAGGCAAAGCCTCATTTGGAAGAGTTGAGTAAATTTGTGATTTCTTATCATATGGTGAGATGGAGCCCCACATGTAAGAGTCGGAGGGTTAAAAGTGAAACAATTCTAGTTGTATATGTGATTATGTGTTGTACATGTGTTTTTCTCATATAAGACTACAATTGTGTAATGTGACTTTGAGAGGCTAGAATGGGTTATTGAGCATTTAGGGTGTAATTTTTTGAAAGAAAAAGTGACTTTTTATACCCGAGTGTCCAATTTTAGATCAAACCATCAAATCGAGTCCAAACTTATTTCATTGGCTAGTGTACATCGTAAACTTTGACTTCATATAATGCTTACTTTATAATCATTAGCCTATAAGCTATCCAAATGACCATAACACCCTCCTAACTCATTTATTCACCAAATTCTTCATTTCTAACCTAATCCTTCAAGCTAATTTGAGCCTAAACTCTTAAGACTCAACCATTTAATGCCAGACAAGTTGCAAAACCTTAGTTTCACATTCAAAAGCCCTTTTTAAATCTTTCTTTTAAATTTTAATTCCTTAAAACTTCTGTTTCAATTTCTCTACTGACTAAACTTAGAGAAAATGGGGTAGAAATGTAGTGTAGCACTATACGATACTTACTTGATAAGTCATTGGCCAAAACAAACTCACGAGCTCTTAAAAATTGATGCCTTAGTAGATCCAAGCTTTCTTGCCTCTTACACACGATTTCCTCAACCTCCTCTTCTGATTTTATGAGCTGACCATGTCAACTTTAAATGAATTCCGTGCAATGTGCTACAGCGCATGTAGCACTTGCCATGGCACATGACACAGTGAGGTTAATTTCACTTATGCTCGCGCGTTATATCCCGAATTGCCATTCTATCATCTATTCATATAACCATACTAACCAATCAGCACAACATATTAACTCAACATCCAAAACCATAATCAATTCACTAGTTACTAATATACTCTTGATTAACAACTAGTTCCTTGGATTGAAATTCAAGATGTTATAGGTGAAGAAGCATTAAAGGCTCAGAGAAGTTTTTTTAGAAAGTTTAGCAACACAAACTTTAAAAGTTGAACATACAAGCATAATTGCCATTATAGCAGTAGCTTCCATAACCCATGATAGAGGATTCCACATAAAACACAATTACTTCAAAAATTTGCTCTCCTGAAAGAATATTTACCAAAAAAACTAGCACTTTTTATTTTTTATTTAGCTTTGATTGAAAAACAGTGCTAGGAGAAGGGAAAGCTATGGGATAGGACAAGTTTTGAACCTTTTTCTCTTTAAGTTTGTTATGCTCGAAAATGATGAGTCTCTCTTCAGCTTTGCTTTCAAGGGAAGGAGATGATTAAAAACCAAATGAAGAGGAAACAGAAGCAACAAAACTAAAAGAAGACGAAGAGGAGAACGAAATTGGTGCTGAGTGTGGTAGGAACCACTTGGTAGTGAGGAAGTGAAAAAACATTCGACCTCTGTCACAGCCAACTTGTCGAAGCTTAGCTAGTGATTTTATTGTGGAGGTTGAGACCATCTCAACTTGTGAGATAAGGCAGCATTGTCGATCAAAGAGTTGTTGGCAATGATATTGGCAATGTGATGATGACCTGAATAAAAGGGCACAACCAGAGTAAGATACAGACACGATGAAGAGTGGGTGAGGCACATGGGGTATTTTAGTAAAATGAGGAAGTAGTTAAATAAATAAAATAACAACCTTAGTCTTTTAATAACATTTGATTCTTAAGGTTAATTTTTATTTCAACTAAATCATTTTCACCAATTTTTTCAAATAAAAAAAGGAGGAATAATATTCAGTAATATCTCGGGTTGGAATAAACAGCACTAACGATTTTGATAGGTGCTAGTTATAGGTTTCTTTCCTTTTGTTTTTTGTTTTTAAATATTGGGTTAAGTTGTTCCCATTTTACTATTTTAGCATGCAATTGTTTTGAGAATTGGTCTGATAATGCATGTATAGTTTCTAATTTTTATCTTCACGCTGGAAACAAATTTGGGACTTTATGATGCATTTGGGAGAACATTATAAGGAACACAAGTAAGAAACTATATCACTGAAAATTAAATTTGAGAACTTATGAGGATATAAATTACAAGTCTTCTCACTGTCTTGTCGGTTAGGTTTTCCAAACATTCGTGCGGATTTAAATTTGATTTTTAATAATCCCAACAATCTGAATTTTACATGCAGGCGGGTGTTTGATAGAATAGCTCAATAGGTTTGCCTTCTTGGTGGGGTTGATGTAATAAGAATTTGGGTGCTTAACGCGCCCGTGAGTTTTTTCCGGCCTTCGTCTCCCTTATTGCTATTTCTTTTTGCCACAACCGTCTTGCGATTTGATTGTTTGGATTGAAATGGAGGGTCCTCCTTCCAACGATCTTTGTTCGGTGTGCCACGGAGACTACAACAATCCTTGCCAAGCCAATTGCTCACACTGGTTTTGCGGTAATTTTCATTCGCTTCTTCTCACTTGTTGGTTGCTGAGATAATATATATATGTGTGTGTGTGTGTGTGTGTGTGTGTGTGTGTATTTTATAGCTATTGAGTATCTTATCTGTTCTTGCCTTTTCCTTCAGTTTTTGTATGATTGGTTAATTTCGAGAAATTTCACTTGCAAGGATATATAGAAAGCTGAATGGGTTTTGATTATATCACACCCCTAAAACATCATGGCACCCGATGGTGCAGAAATCATGAAATTTCTGAACAGCTTTCAGGTTCTTTAGAGTTCCATGCTTTTTCATAATGAGATTTTCTTTTTTAGGAATATTGTCCTATGCGTGTGGCAATTGGAGCAAGCCTGAACTGCCGAGTTGGTTTTAAGCAAGTCATCTGTAATTTAATATGGGGGCAACATTCTTATCTGTGCTTTCAAAAGGAGAAATACAGCTCAGCTTAAGGAATATGTCATTATATTTCAAATGGAGAAACTGTTGTCAGTACTCAGTATGAATTTAAGATATAGGATACGCTAGTTAAGTTTCCGCATCTCCAGTTTTTGGTTATTGTATTTTTGCAGGAAATTCTTGGGGAACTTTATATTTTTGGTCTATTAGTTATTATTTTCAAGTGAAAATAATTTCTCCCAAACTGTATTCGTCCTATATTTTTATAACGAAGATGGAAACATTCTCATAGAATCATTTTCTGTTAATATTCTTTCCATTGATGTCATGTGCATACGATCTCATTTTTGTCTATTTCTTCATTATTCTCTTCCCTTTTACCTTTTATTTTTTATTTGCGACCTTTAAATTGTAATCTATTTTTAAACATTGGGAAAGCATAATCAAATTTTTTTAGTCAAATTGTAGAGTATGCTTTCCGATAAGGGTTGAGTTTGGAAACTTTTGGCTTGAAATAAGTTAAAAAGGAAAGGAAAGAAAGAAAAGCTTCCTGATGATGATTCTATATAACATGTCATAATGATTAGAAAGCAGAGATTAGAAATATGTAGTTGCCTTTTGAAATTGTGTCGTTTTGATAAGTTGGTGTGTTTTAATCATGTGCTGTCTCGTGAATATCTTTTTCTGGCATGCGTCTTCTGCTTCTTGGTGTCATTTATGTTTTATGTCTTGTTTGTGTGTGGGTTGCTGAATCAGCTTAGGAGGTTAGGATCATACAGTAGTGCAGGAACTATTTTGTAATCAACCCCAAATGTAATCATGAGTTTGTCAATCTTATCTATATTAGGTGTATTATGCATGTTCTGTTAGCAGGATTTTAAGTAATCAGAAATCGGATTTCGATCTTTTGGCCTTCATATACCAATGTAAAATGGTGCTGATGGTAACACCTGCATTAAAACAGAGGTGGAGGGCATGATGGTGGGATCAGGAATGTATATACACGTTCTCAAGAAATCAGAAATGGACTTCATATTACTAATGTCCTCATGATTGTGGGTTTTTCAATTGTTTTCTTGTCTTTATTCTCCCTAGCATTTCATGTTACTACCAGTAGCACTTTTCTTTCATTGGTGAGATAATGATCATTGCAATTTCATACTGTGCTGGTTTCAGCACAGACAAATTTAGCCATAGGTGAGATTGGCATGATTCATTTAAGGAAACAAAAAGGGCGAAGATCTTCATGAAACAGTTTCTTACTAAAATTAGCTGAGGATGGATTGCCCTAAACTATAATACAGTGGGATTAAATTTTGGATTTCAATTTTTTATATTTAAAATGGCTTCTAGTTTGCTCTCCCATGAAAATTTTATAGGCCAAAAACTTATGATTTTGTACTGATAGTTCATAATTCATGAGGCTTAGTTACATTACCCTTCCTTCATGGTTTAATATGCTTCTTGTACCCAAAAAATTGCTTCTAAAATAGTGAAGTCAATAAGGTTTCTTCCATTCATCCTCTCTTCAGGAAGTTGTATTATGCAAGTGTGGCGCCATGGATCAACTGTCAGGCCATGTAAATGCCCCCTATGTCGTCGTCAAATTACTTTGCTGGTTCCAACAGAGGACTTGTTGAGGCAGCGATATGACCCTGAAGTTGCTGAGGTTCTACAAAATATTGAGGCATACAATCGTTTGTTTGGTGGTCAGGCAACTGGTCTTGTTCAGGTACTCATGCATCGACAATGTTCTTTTGCTCTATCTTTTCTTTCAACTTCCTTCCATTTCAATTTCTTTAGCACTAATATTGATTCATTAAATTAACCAAGGAGAATAAGAAATTATTCTTCATTTTTTTTTTGCTACATCATATTTTCTATATGACGTAATATAGTTTATGAGAGAAATATTGCTATTTTTCATGTCTTCCCAGCACATCAGTTTCCATTATTGTAGTATTCAATTCATACTGTTACTAACACATTATTTGTGTGCCTTTTAATGACATATTTGTGATTGGAATAAAAATGTTATTGAAATCACTCGATGTCTTTTCCTTAATGGATGATGAAACTCTGCAACTCAAGTATTATTTATGCCCAAAAGTTGCAAAATTCCTCTGTTTCAATATAAGAATTCAGAGAATAAATTGAATAAATTCCAGAAGTTACATCGCAAGGCATGAAAATCACATAAAATTTGAAAGATATATCACAAGGATAAATCATCGTAACTTTTCAAGTTGCTAGACGCTCCTCAAACAGTCACCATGTCTGTATTCCCCTCTTGCCTGCCTAAGCCTACATTACCTCTGCCAAAGTCAAAATGCTTGTTTGTGGTATTCTCAATTCATTCATTCCACTCATGGGCCTGGGCCTGGCTTTGGGCTACCAATCCCTTCCTCTTCCATTGATAACTCCTTGGAGTCTCATTTGCATTAGACTCTGTGCTTCGGCACCTCCTCTGGTGGTTTGGTCTCACTAGGCCCAAGTACATAAGTGGGTTCCATGTGGACTTCAAGCACAACAAGGATTCTAGGGAAACTTAGGAATAAAAATGAGAGCAAAAGTTTTTATTGTTAAGCTGAATGACTTGTCCTTCTGAAATCCGAGAGCTAAAGCCAAACAAATGTTGTAGGGATTTCCCATTTGGCAATGCCTCATTGATATTGTTATCAATTCCCTGGCTTGACTGGCTATCAGAGATAGCTCATACCATCTGAGGCTCTTCCCGCAATAAATTTGTTTGCTTCTGTTTCAATTGGAACACAAAACTCAGATTTACAGCTCCAAATAGTAAACCAGATGATCAGAATATGTTGGACCAGGGACCTAGCAATGTTTATGGTGGAAAGAATTCTAGGTAGCCAGAAAGTGTCCCCAAGAAGAATTAACTCTCACATGCTACATGAGATGAGGATGGAGGGGAGGGCCTTCCAGAACAAACAAACGTGGTTATTATTATGTATGTGAGCTGGGAGCTTAGTAGAGTAGAGGGGCGTAGAAAGAATTCAGTCTGCATTAGGGGGATTTGCTTGCTTGCATTTTACTTGCATCTTTTCTTGACGTATTCCATTTCTTCTGCAATTTTACTATTTTCTTCTGGGAGGATTTGCTTGTCTTACCAAATGCCAGAGAATATAAATGAAGTGTGGTTCTGAAAAATATTATTCTCCATCCAAGGGCCCAAAACTAAATAGGATATTCAGCATCATCATGGAAGTTTCCCATCCATTTTACTTTGCTAAAATATCGTAGCCTATATCTTAGCGTTTGCCTATTAATATAATACACCTTCTACTATATACTCCAGATTGTCAAAAGAATGATGGGATAAGTGGCTGTGTTTGCTCAAATTATTGAACCATGTATGACTAATATCCGGTGGTATCCTATTTATCATCTGAGACCGGTACTGGTTCTATCTAGTACTTTCTGTAGACTAGACAGAAGCATAAACAGTTGTAGTTTTGTATATCCCAACATTCTTCCCAAGCCTGACTTCTATAAAGGCCACATCCATAGAACAAACAATGAAGATTTTTGAAGTACAAAAGTAATTGTTTGAATTTTGAAAATTGGGCATGTATAACGTACAATTGTTCAAGGGAATAAGCATGGGCTGGGCTGCATCTGATCGGCATGTCAGAACATAATTTCATCAATGTTCTTGGATGTGTATAAAACATGAACTAGACTTTAAGACCTGTTCAATAAAACCAGGCCTTTGATCATGAATATGGTACTAGTTTTAAATTCCTTTGGATTATGGAACTTTGTATTTAGAGTTAGTTTAAGATTCTTGGCTTTATTAGTTGTTTAAGATACTTGCTCATCTTCTACTAAATATTTTCCTTTATTCATTTAAGAAGTTAGATTTTGATCTCATATTTTAGTAGTGATTTTTCTTCCTTCTCCCTCTCTCTCTCTCTCTCTCTACTTATTTTTTCTTCCTTCATTCTCTCTATTTATGATCCTATCAGTAAATTTATTTCTTCTTACATTCTTCTATGATGTCTTTTGGTGGAAATTTATTTTTCCCCCAAGATGCATCCTAGTTACTAATTTGGCCTCTCTTAAGAAAACTTTTCATAATTCCTTGCTTGTACATTTGTTCCTCTCAAGAAACTGTTCCTGGTATTTCTTGTTTCCCCCACTTCTATTTGATGAAATCATGAAAGAGACATCAATTCTTGGAGTTTTGCAATTCCCAGTGTGCAATGATGGTAATGGCCTAAAGAATCTAACCACCCCTCCCCCAAAAAGAAAAAACAAAAAATAAAAAACAAAATACAAAATATTCATCTTCATTCAATCTAGCTGAAAAACATTGACAACTTTATCTTGCAAGAAAGATAATCTAAATCTTCATATTTTTTAATACTTTCATTTTGTCTTGGCTGCGTTTATGCTTCTGTTGGATCTCCATAAACTGGTCCAAAGCTTCTTCTCACAGTTTCTGCATACATCCTATGGAATCCTACTGCTACTGCCTTCTTGATTTCTGTCATACATTTTAAGCCATTTGAATCTTTCTACATCTGAATGCAAATTAACAGTGGTTTTGTTCATCTCTTCTGTTGTTTTTTAAGTTAGCCATTTCTTAGAATCATTGGCTGCACAAATTGTTCGATTAAGAGGGGTAGAGGAAGGCCTAAGAGAATAATCTTGGAAGTTGTTGAACGCGATCTCTTAATTAATAATATTCCTAAAAGTTTGATAAATGATAGAGCACAATGGCATCTTGCAATCCATGTAGCCGACCCCATCTAGTGAGATAAAGGCTTGTTGTTGTTGTCGTTGTCGTTATTGGCTGCACAAATTATTATTCCTCGTTAGGGTTAAATAGAAACCTTAGGCAACTGACCTGCCTAGCATGGCCATAAAATTAGGAAGAATTTTTTCTAAAAAATAAAATCTAATCTAAACAGAAAATAAGAAACTAAGTAGCTGTTTGGGATCCCATTTAGTTGGCTCAAACTATAGTTTGTAGGCCTAAAAGCTTGTTAGGTAGGGGTTAAAAAAATATGTTCGGATAAGAGTAATTGGCAAATGAGCTTTTCTTTCCTTACTATAGGTAGGTCAAAAGCTAGATTTTGAAGCTTTTATATTAGTTGCATTGCGAATGTAACCATTGGCAACATTTAATGTATTTTAAAATTACTGAACAACTCATTTATCCATCCATATAATTTTGAAATTTGACATTTTTATGATTTGTGATTTATATATATATTTTTCTTTTTTAAATAGATCTAATTTAGCTTTTCAGTAGTTTAAAATATTTTTTAGAATAATATGTCAACTCTTATTTTTATAATTATAATTCTAATGTTTTTTCTTAAGTTTATCAATTTGCATACTTATAATTTATATATATATATATGTGGTTGTGAGACATAAAATTCATGTCATTTTCAGTCATTGTACCTGCATTTTAATTATATCATTCAAACAAATTTTAATTTGTCAAATTGACTCTTTTATAGAAAAGTATCCAAACATAAATCACATTATAATATCTAACTTGTACTCTAATTTCAATTTACAAACTGTAGTTTTGCAAATATTAATCCAAACAAGTTCTACATTACTGCTTAATAAATTAATAATAAAGAAAAAACAAGTTTTTTAATTGCCAAAATTGAAGCGCTTGTATGGTTTGTTACATCATATTACAGTGTTTACAGCTGCTAGGCAGTATGAGATTCTGGTATTCACTTTTCAAAGTTTGATCTGATTTTTTTGCATCTTGCATTGTTATATAACTTATTTTATTTTTTTAATTATGTAATGAGTTGACATCTTTTGACAGAGAATGCAAGATCTTCCTTTTCTCTTGCGAAGGCTGCTGCGAGAGCTGATGGATCCTCACAGAACACTTCCCCTTGTCATTAAGGCTCGTGTCTACATTGCAGTTAAGTACAGCTTCGCAACGTTGAATAATTTTAGTATATTGAATTTCACTGAAAGTCTTGCACAAGTTGAATGACTTTAGTATGTTAAATTTCACTAGTCTTGCGCAAAAAGAGCTTTATGCATCTCTTTGTTTTTCATTTTACTCGTCATGTTTGTATCTTTTGACCCTCATGATTTTTATCAGCTTGTTGGAAGGGAGTACTCCTGGTTACTGAATCATTTATGTAATGCTTTATTTTTTTTTTTTATGAAAAAAAAATCTCATAATGAAATAATGGTATGAACTTGTAAGAATGTAGTATTTCTCTTTACAGTATTCCTCATGTGAGACTAATATAGCAGGACTTTTTTTGTTAATCCTAAATCGGTATTTAGCACTGCAACTGAAATAGACACGTAGCAGAATTAGGCTAGAAATTTGGGTTGGTGACTTATGCTGCTGATTTGAAATAGCGTTGGCAGTTAAAAGTAGCAACATTGCCCCCAAAAGAGAGGGGGGGGGGGACAATGTTGTGGGAGATAATTTTGTTCTTAATTTATTGGAGAAACTTGTAATGCGTTAAAACTTATTAACTGTAACTTTTGGAATTTGTTAAGAAGATTTGCAGCATGTTATATATGCAATCCTGTAATGAGAAAATTAACACTCACAATTCAAATGCCTTTGAATGGTCAAGGTTTGATCCTCTGATCTCATAATAAATTTTCCTCTCTAGAATTCTCTAAGTCCCTCTATATCGGTCCAGATGCCTTGGTAAGAAGCAAAAATATAAAACTATGCGGGCTATGAGGGATTGTGGCCCAGGATGGCATGCGTGGCAAATAATAGGAAGGATATGGATGTAAAAGCTCTAGGGAACATAGTATAGATTTGATTTTATTGTCATATAGAGAACACAGAATAGTTTCTGATCGTGGAACTGCATACCATTGCGAGACGTAAGGTTTGATTGCTGATCTACCATCCATTGATAATTTCCTATTCTGCTTCTGATGCGAAATCAAGTTGCTTTAGTGGATTATCTTGTGCAAATCGTCATTGTGCCTTTTGTACAGATGATATCAAGTGCTGCCTACATTGTAAGCCCTGTTGACATTATTCCAGAAGGTATATATGCTCATTGTATATTGGGTTAATGCGAGGGAAAAAAAATATTCAGAAATTTTTTTCTCAAGGAACTTTTGGTATCCTTATCCTTAAATCAATAATGATATAAATACTTAGAAATTTTTTCTCTAGAAACTTCTGATATCTTTAAATCAATAATGGTATATGAGTATCCATTAATTTTATAAGAGGCCAACTTTCCCCGATTCATTAAAATGGCCTGACAGTCAAACATTTGTTGTCCTTAGAACTTAAGAATCAACATTAGGCCATTTTAATAGATTGAGAAAAGTTGGTCTCTTTTTTAAATTAATCAGTATCCATGCACCATTATGGAGAAAGGATACCAGAAAAAGTTATTGGTTATTTTTACACCTTAATCCTTGTATTTGATTTGTTGAACTTGAATGATCATTCCAGTAAATAACTATTGCTTCTTCTCTTCATTCCTGCAGCGATACTGGGAATATTTGGTTTGTTGGATGATGTCCTTATTGCGCTCATCTGCTTCCTTTATGTTGCTTCTGTTTATAGATCAGTACTCTATTTCCGTCATGGGGGCTCCCGGGCCTGAACCGGTATAATTTGCACTGCAAGGTCCTTGACAATATGTGCTTGTTTACATTGTTTTATACGTAATTTGTTATACATTTGCTTTTTCTTTCTTTGTTCGCCCCCTATTTTTGTTCTGGCCAACCAAGTAGTTTCATAATTGTATCCTGTCTAATGACAATTAACACGTAATGAAAGTGAACGAAGAACTTGATTAACATCCGGGATCAATGGAAAGTTGAAATCTTATAATACTCTTCCCAGTTTTAAACATGAGAGATGATGTAGATAACTATTTTGTGGTTTTTTTTTTATACGTTAATTTATATACTTAATCTCATAAAAAATATCAATATTTCGAGTATTGCCCTTTAATGCGATAAATGACTACAGTGTCAACTCGAGATTAAAAACAATCCAATCACACCATGAGATTAAATTCTAAATTCAAGTCACCAATAAATGAGGGAAGGGTAGGATTAGAAAAAATAAATGTAACTACATGTAATTTTATATTTTGGATCAAGTAGAATGTTTAGATATTGTTTTATAGTTAGGATCGAGTGAAGTGCTTAATTCTCTTATTAGCATGACCATCCAAAGCATGTTTCGTTGGCTTTTTATAATGGTATTAGTAATCGTGGTAGTCCACGTTCATAGTTCCATCCATGTAAATCTTGTTAGAAATCGCAACACATCTAAAGGGGGTGAGTTCAGTGTTTATCAAAATTTTCAATTTTTTTAAACATCTTGGAAAATAGAGTACATGTATGTTTAAGAAAAATTAAGTTTTAAACTTTGTTTATAAGAATGTTGGGAGTTTTACGTAAGAATGTTTTAGATCAATTTAAAAGTGAAAGTTTTAAGTAAGAGCTTGTAAACACTTGAAGTGCAGTTTTAATGCAAAAACATAGCGTAAATAAGAGTTGTTGGAAATGTAAAAACACAATAGATTGAGAAAGTTTGATTCAAGGGAAAATGACAATTACAAACCTTAAAAAAGTAAAACCATTTTAAATGACTGTGGTCTTTATTTACAATTAAAATTTTAACAAGTTTACAGAATTACCTTTAAAAGCAAATGCAGCAAATATCTTATCAAAGTGTCATTTATTCAGCGTGAAATCCTTCTCCTAGCTTCAAAACTGCTTGATTTGCCTTAAATGTTGGTTTTCGTGTGAAGTGGGGCGTCTTGTAACCTATATTTTGGTCTTCGATAAAGTGCGTCATCTAACAATCTACATACGTGCATTCCTTTGTTTTTTTGGTTTAAATATGTGGACCTGTGACTGGTTTGATAGTGTTGTAAGCGTAACTACTGAAATCATTAACATGAGATGAGAATATTTGCAACCATAGTTGTGAGAACTAGGAACCATATTTGGAATTGGATTGTTTCCAACTTTGGTTTCTAGTTTTTCCAATTATATCAACAATATTTCCAATTTATGTTAGCTAATTCCATTAGTTAATATTTATCTAACAAATTGCATGTGCACACATTTAAACCAGAGAAATAAAGATATATTGGCATCATGCCAGTATTATATCTCAAGAATGTTAGCTAATTTCATAAGGGAGAATCAGTCTAAAGTCCCATGAAAGCACTTTAAATACGCTAAGGTCCCATGAATTTAAAAAATAGCTGCCAGGTCCCTAGGGACCTAAGGGTGAATAAGTCTGAAAGTGAAATTACCCATTTGCCCTCTAGCATTGAAAATAAGATTTTGCTTGCGCGCGCACGTCTGAGGAAACCCATGATCAGCAATAGTGAAGGTTGCTGCATATCCATGGTTGTTGATCACGGTAGGATCATCTTCACTTCCTCACGTCCATGATTACAACCGTTGTCTTCATCTAAGTGAGTTGGGAGTGTTTCTTCTGTAACAGCAGCATTTCATCGGCAGAAAATAAATTTTCTAGGTAAACGATAGTTGGCCGTAAACGATTACGTAAATTACCGATCAACAGTAGCATATCCATTGTTAGCTGGGTAAACGATTTCTTGTGCGTTAATGATTTCATTATTGTCTAAGGGTAGGATAATGCTTTCTGGGTAAACCTACGATCATTCAGTTTGCATAGCTGATATATGGAATAATCTGGCGCAACACTGTTCCGTTGACAAATATCTGATATGAATATCCCTCTACATGTTGTCAATAGTGTTTTGTTGTGTTGTCAATATGAGATGAATAGTTGTCAATACACTATACTGTGCAGGCTAACCAGTAAAAATGCAAGCACTACTGGAAAACATGTATTATGTTATTTTTTTCATATAGGACAATTTATATATCATTCTCAAGCATCTGAGGTAAGCTTGTTTTGTTGAAAAATCTCTGCTATTAATGAACACTATGTCTTGTCAATAGTGGATAAATATGTTGTTAATATACATTGTTTAGTTGTCAATATACTGTGTGTGGTGCAGGTTGACCTGTAAGATGGCAAGTTCTTCAGGAGAACATATATTATGTTTTTTCCATATAGGGGGGCATTTTCAAAATGATGACTAAGGAAGTATGCAATATGTTGGGGGGAGTGTTAGAACTAGAACAATAAAGGAAAGGACAACATATGAAGAGTTGACAAGAATGATATCATCAATTATAGGAAATGAAAGTAATATAATCAAGTTAAAATTCACAGTCAATGTTGATACATGTACACTTGTAGATTTAGTTGATGATGATGGAGTAGAACATCTGATCAAATATAACAAACAAAGTGGATATGTGTATGTAGTTGCAAATGGGAATGACACCATAGAAGCATCAATGGATTGCCCATTAGAGAACCAACATGTATAAGTTGTGTAAATTTGTTTGTTAATGCAAATATGTTGGAAAGAACAATTGTAATGTTGTCATTGAATGCAGGATTGATAATTTATTGAGAGTTTCAGATGGATGCTCTTTCTCTCCACCAAGTATCTATCCTGAGATTGAAGACTCGGAATTAGCATGCGCTGTACAAATGGTACCTACACCAATACCTGAAATGAGTTCTATGAAATGGAAGGATTTGTTAGTAGGTAAATGACAGTTTTTTCCTAATGTTGATGCCTTTAGACAAGCATTGTACAAGTTAGCATCTCTCACAAGTTTTCATACAAGTTTAAGAAGAATAACAAAGAGAAGATCATTGCATATTGCAAGGTGGAGGGCTGTGAATGGAACATTGCAGCATATTCAATAGGGAAAGATAATGAGATTTTAAGGGTTACAAAATTCAACAATGATGACACCCATAATGAGCAAGACAACCTTATTGTGTCACACCCGGCAAGGTCAAAATTAACATCATCAATCATGGTTGATGCTCTAAGGTCTAATATAGATAAAGGTGCCAATGAACTTGTAAGAGACTTGTATAGAGAGTATGGTGTGCGATTGAGCTACAGTCAAGCCTATATGGGAAGAGAAAAAGCATTGCGGGAAATACATGGTCGTGCAGAAGATTCTTATAGCATAATTCCTTGGATTTGTGATCGATTAATGGAAACTGATCCGATGACAGTTGCAAAATGGAATGCCTCAAATAATAGATTTGAGAGGCTATTCATTGCTTATGGATGCTCTATATCTGGTTTTTTAGGAGGTTGTCGAGCCATACTTTATGCGGACGGATGTCACCTAAGCAGTCCATATAAGGGAACAATGCTGTCAGCATGTACATATGACGCTGATAATGACTTATTTTCGGTAGCATATGCCATTGTTAGTAGGGAAACATTAGAAGATTGGTCTTGGTTTCTTCAAAATGTCAAAGACATAACAAGATCAGTGGAATTAACAATTGTTTCTAATCGAAATAATGCGATTATTGGTGCCGTGCAAGCTATATTTGGTAGTGGTGAGAGACATGCATTTTGCTACCGTCATGTGAAGGAAAATTTTAACACAGCATTTACGAAAATCAATAGAGGTAAGACGTGTACCTCGAGCAATATAAAAGATAATGCATTGAAATTACTTGATGCAATTGCCTATGCAAGGCATGAGGCTGAATTTAATGTTGCAATGGGGAATCTAAGATTGTTTTGTCCACAATTGGCACAATGGGTTGAAACCCAAGGGGATGTACATCAATGGGCTCAATGCAAGTTTGGATATAAACGATGGAATAATATCACAACTAATCTTGCAGAATCCTTTAATGCTTGGATTGTGAAAGAGAGAAAACACAATGTTAATGTCTTGATTCATGAGCATAGAGAGAAATTGGTAAAGAAGATGGTCGCTAGCAAAGCGGCTATGGGAAATTGGAAACATGGTGTCAAGCCTAACGTTGAGGCAAAAGTTATGGAGCAAGTTGTGAGAGCTGAAAATTTACACGCACAAATTTATAGAGAAAATTTGATCTCTATGCAAACTATATCAGTTAATGGACTAATACACTTGAATGTTGATCTTGCAGCACGTACATGCTCTTGTTTAGCATGGCAAATGAGTGGAATACCTTGTGCACATGCTTGTGTAGCAATCAAGCTACTTCATGGCAATGTGTACAATTTTGTGGATGAATGTTACAAGTTTACTGCTCAAGAACAGATATATGCCACCAGTGTGAAGCCGATAGCCACACATGACTGTCCACATCCAGAAGCATTGACGGTGACAAATTTATTAACCGAAACCTTTTTGGAGCCACCAATGACTAGAAGGCCTCTTGGTAGGCCAAAGAGTAAAAGAAGGGAATCTCAATTCCAAAACAAAAAGGTGTACCGTTGTGGAATATGCCATGAGATTGGTCATACCTCCAAGACTTGCAAGAATCCTAATCCATGCTAGAAAATATTACAGACAAGTGTATTTTTTTGTTTATATATATGGAAGTTGTTTTTGTTTACTTTTTGGTTTATTGTACATAATGTATTAGCACTTTTCAATAGCAAATGCATAAATTGTAAATGACTTGATACCTTATAGTCAAAGACTAATGGCAAGTAGTCAATAAGTTCTTGCACCTGGTTGATTTTTGTAAGGATTAACAGCACCAAGTGCGTCAACACTTGTCAATAGAGAATTAACACATTGTCAATATAGTTATATCCACTTGTCAATAGGCAACGGAAGTAGTCAACAGGTTCTTACACCTTGTTGAATTTTAAAGAGAATAATAGCACTTATTGCTTCAGCACTTGTCAATGTCGAATTACTACCTTGCCAATATAGTTAATAGTACTTGTCAATATCCAAAACTAAGTAGTCAACAGGTTCTTGCACCTTGTTGAATTTTAAAGGAAATAACAGCACTTACTGCCTCAGCAATTGTCAATGACGAATTACTACCTCGTCAATATAGTTAATAGTACTTGTCAATCTCCAAAGCTAAGTAGTCAACTGGTTCATTTAACTAGCTGATTTTCCAAGGAAACGACAGCACTTACTACCTCAGCACTTGTCAATGGCGAATTACTACCTTGTCAATATAGTTAATAGTACTTATCAATCTCCAAAGCTAAGTAGTCAACTGGTTCATTTAACTAACTGATTTTCCAAGGAAACGACAGCACTTACTACCTCAGCACTTGTCAATGGTGAATTACTACCTTGTCAATATAGTTAATAGTACTTGTCAATCTCCAAAGCTAAGTAGTCAACTGGTTCATTTAACTAGCTGATTTTCCAAGGAAACGACAGCACTTACTACCTCAGCACTTGTCAATGGCGAATTACTACCTTGTCAATATAGTTAATAGTACTTGTCAATCTCCAAAGCTAAGTAGTCAACTGGTTCATTTAACTAGCTGATTTTCCAAGGAAACGACAACACTTACTACCTCAGCACTTGTCAATGGCGAATTACTACCTTGTCAATATAGTTAATAGTACTTGTCAATCTCCAAAACTAAGTAGTCAACTGGTTCATTTAACTAGCTGATTTTCCAAGGAAACGACAGCACTTACTACCTCAGCACTTGTCAATAGCGAATTACTACCTTGTCAATATAGTTAATAGTACTTGTCAATCTCCAAAGCTAAGTAGTCAACTGGTTCATTTAACTAGCTGATTTTCTAAGGAAATGACAGCACTTACTACCTCAGCACTTGTCAATGGCGAATTACTACCTTGTCAATATAGTTAATAGTACTTATCAATCTCTAAAGCTAAGTAGTCAACTGGTTCATTTAACTAGCTGATTTTTTAAGGAAACGACAGCACTTACTACCTCAGCACTTGTCAATGGCGAATTACTACCTTCTCAATATAGTTATTACTACTTATCAACGGTGAATTATTAACTTGTTAATGTACTTATAGACACTTGTTAATAAAGTGATAACAACTTGTTGACATGCAATTAATAAAACAGATTGTCTGCCACATTTACAAACTTGTAATCAGCTTTTATAACCAGCGTTATCTAAGTTAACTACACAAAATGAGCTAACTATACAAAGGGATATGATGATCAATAAAATTATATCCTAAGGTTCTATAAAAAATCTTCTATTTCCTTTTCCTCGTCGCTTGGGATCCTTTTAACAAGGACATGGCTTCGGGCTCCTTCACATTGTTACCATGACTCAGTAGCCACCACAAGAGTTCTACCTTCTTCTTATAGAGGTCATCCTGCACCACAAGTAAGTCTTATAAGGGACAACAACAAATATGTAGTACAAGAAAAAGGGAAAATGTAAAGCAAAGAATGCATACGTTAGAGTATTTTGGCATCGTATACCCACTCTTATCCACAGTGTTGTCCCACGATTGTAACCATGTCATAATGTGCACCCCACAAGTATGGCTAAAAACAAAATAAAAAACATAACGTAAAATTAATTTTTCACATGTAAATATAAGCTTAATGATGTATAAACATAAAAGGAACTCACGTATCAGTTTGCACATGAACTTTAGCCCATATAATGTCCGTGCTAACATCATCCTCAAACAATTGTGGCTTGACTGCACGAAGTAGAGAGTGAAAGCAATTCCTCTGCAAACTCAAGACTTGCAATGTTAGTAATGTTAATTTACAACTAATCAAGAAGACAACGACAAATATAGATGTTGGTAATGTTGAGTGACAAGTATAGACATACGCATCCTCTTACTATCATTTCTTTGGGATCTAGTTGTCCTTTCTTCTTCTTCTTCTTCTCCTTTCCCTTGCCCTTCTTCTCAACATTCTCTTCTTCTTCTTCTTCCTGCTGTCTTTAGAAATAATCCCTGTTACTGACCAATGAATCTAACACATAGAAATTCTTACTCTTGGTCTCAAAGACATAGCAAAACCAGTGACTATGGAAAAGAGTTGGGCCAAAAATGAAATCACAATCAGCAATGTTATATCCAACAAACTCAGGAAATATTTCTCCCTTGTTGTCATCTACCGTCCATTTCAATGGGTTGCTGATCATTTTTAGCATGAATTTAGAACCAAAGATATGTCTTCGGACTTTCCCTTCTTTTTCCTTTTGGTCACCTACCAAAGTTCGGGCAACCATTGACATCACCCTATCACTAATCCATCTCTTTCCACTAAAACATTGTAGCTCTGCACGAGTCAAGTAGTAATTATACAAATCTACAATGATCCTGTTGAAGAAGAAGGAAAAATTAAATAGATTGTCACTAATACTTTAGTCAGTCAATTTTTAGGCACAATATAGGGACTTACTTGTCTCCCTCATCTTCCTCACATGGTGTTATGCATATTTGAAATAATTGCTCCTTCTCATCCATTTTTCTCTTCTTTCCAACATTAGTTCTAACCCATAGAGATTTCACAGCAGATCTTTTATATCTTTTTAATCTTCTAGGATGTTTACTTGATTGTTCTTCTCCTCTTCCTTCCTCATCCTCGACAGAATCTTTCCCTCCTACACCTGCCTCCTTAGCCTCTTCCTCCTTTGAATCGTCATTGTTGCCCTTTTCTTTAGGAGAACCTTGCTGTTCATCATCTTTTTCTTTATCTTCTTCACCTTCTAATTTTTCTTCTTCATTCTCTTCCTCTTTTGATTGTTCAGCTCCTTCTTCATTGTATTCTTCCTCTTCTAATTTTTCTTCTTTATTCTCTTCCTCTTTTGATTGTTCAACCCCTTCTTCGTTATATTCTTCCTCTTCTAATTTTTCTTCTTCATTTTTTTCCTCTGAAGCTGTCCCCTCATCAACAAGTCCTTCCTCTTCTATTTTTTCATCTTCATTCTTTCCCTCAGAATCTATCCCTTTATCATCATCTTCTTCCTCTTGTGATTTTTCACCTTCTTCCTCTCTTGAGCCTTGTCCAAGCGGCATTGATTGTAAGCTCATTAACTCCTCTCCAATGTCAGACACAAACAACAGCACTTTTCCATACAGCCTCCTTACTTCCTGCAAAACAATTACTAACTCAGTGCATAAATAAGACCATATATATTTGTCCATTGTACTCTATTTTATACATACCGGGTGAACAAATGTCGATTCTTGATACACCTTGGTAGATGAACTACCATGTACAGTAGTTGGCTAATGCAAGATGCCTCGATTGCCTTTTTTCTCCAACTTTATTCTTATATTCACTTTATCATCGTCCCAATATTTTAGAGCATCTACGGCTTTTGGACAACCTTGGCCAACTGGAAAATTCTGGAAGCCCCATACCTAAAAACTTGACAAATCAGTATAAACATAAAACCTTTACATGGAAAACTTTGAAAGGCTATCACTTTGGATTAATGTAAATTGAACACACACTTACCATTAGAAAGTAGATACATCCCCCAACGTTCTTCCTCGTCCTTCCCTTCCCTTTGCTCAGCTGTTTCTTGTAGTCTTCTACCTCCTTGCAAAGTTCATTAAAAATGAACGTACCCCAATCATATGCGCTTGGTTTCTTTTATGTCTCATAAACGACCTTCAATATACAGTCGCTAACCTTAAGACTTGCGGTTGGCAATAGCAAGGTTCCCAATGCATACATTACAAAAAGTAACTCAAATTTAGCTACCTCCTTTCCAGATATAATCATTTCAGCTATTTCCTTGTAAGGCATTTTATAGTAAGTATTTCTTAAATTCTTAAAAGCTCTATCATTCACATTGACATCCCCAGTAATCTGCTTACCCTCACTACGTAAGCCCATCAAGTCATTCACATCCTTGGCCTTCATTTGCTTGATTTTCCCCCTTATGCATATTTCACGAGTTGGGGGGTCAAAGGCACGCATCAACTCTCCACAAATATCTCTTTGAATTTTTTTACAAGACACATCAAGAAGCCTATGGAATCCTAGCTTCTCAACCCTTTTTTGTAATTTCTCATCTTTCTTAACATATTTTGCCACTTCACCAAATTGGCTAGGAGAGCAGCGCGTATGAAATGGTACGGTATATCTCTTCACTGTTGTCTTTGCTTTATCTTTCATCTTCCTTTATCTAGAAAACAAATAGAAAAGTTCAATTACATGTGTTGAAAAGAGATATATGCATACTAGTCATTACTAAGTTCCAACTCACAGATTTCTACACTAGTATTGTTTATTAGTAAGAAAAAAACACAAGTCACAAAGGCATGACGGTTCACTAGTTATGACAGTTCTCTAGTCAATAGAGCATACTGTTATTGTCAGTGGAGTTTATGGTTGTAGTCATTGAAGTAATTAGTTGTCATTCATGGAATAAATGATTTTGGTTAATACAGCATATGGTTGTTGTCAACAAAGAAAGCAGTTGTCGTCAATGGAGAAATTCATCCATATTTAAAATTACATATTTTTAAGCAGATTTAGAAGTTAAACTAACCACAATAAAAATATAAAATGCAAGAGGAGTAGTTGAAAGTTGAAACATGCAAATACGCGCCTTAAGTAATTACAAAAATCTCATGCATAGCTACACTTTTGCAACATATTAGAAATATACTTGGTAAGCTTGACTTGATAAACATTAGAGAACTGTGTGACCAGGTTTTGTCTCTTTCAGAGTACAGAGCACAACTATATGATTATCTTAAGAGTAGGATGAACACTATTGCACCCAATTTGACCGCTCTTGTTGGGAATCTTGTTGGTGCTCGCCTTATTGCCCATGGTGGTAGCTTCCTCAATCTTGCAAAGCTACCGGGGAGTACTGTACAGATACTTGGTGCTAAAAAGGCTCTCTTTAGGGCCCTAAAGACTAAGCATGCTACCCCAAAATATGAGCTTATTTATTATGCATCATTAATTGGTCAGCCTGCTCAAAACTTTAAGGGTAAAATTTCTTGATCACTTGCTACAAAGACAGCATTGGCGATTATGAAAGATGCTCTTGGACATGGTCAACATAATTCAATGGGATTGGAAAACAGAGCCAAGGTGCTTGTGCTATTCTCTAGTTAGTTCTCCTACTTTTGTTGTCACTTGCTACCATTTCTTATATATACTTATACACAGCTTGAAGCACGCCTAAGGAGTCTTGAAGGCAACGAACTAGGTAGACTTGCCGGTTCAACTAAAGGAAAGCTAAAGATAGAAAGCTATGACCAAGATTGGAAGAAGGGAGTTGAAGGCTTCCGTCAAGCTCCTCACGGTGCGTCTGTGGATGAGGAAATGCAAGAGCTTCCTGTTGCTGAAGAAAAGAAAGAAAAGAAGAAAAAGAAGAAAGAGAGAAGTGGGGACAATGATGTTGCTCTACAAGCTGATGCTGGCAAGCAATCAGATCAGGTGGAAACTACAAAGAAGGAGAAGAAGAAGAAATGTAGGGATTCTACTGAGGGTGGCCAGGTGCAGGCTGAGGAGGATTACAAAGATGGTAAATTACAGTGAGAAGAAAACCGGCATACAAGCAAAAAAATAGAGACGGAGAATTACAGTTATGTGCGAAAATGGAGATGCAAAAAATTAAAGCCACAATCGAGATACCAGCTAAAAAAAGAAAAGAACAAACAAAGGAATAATGGGAGAAGAAAATGCATAATGAATGGCAGTTGAACCTGTGGTGGCGAGACGGCGGCAGAGGACGACAAAGATAGTCGGATGATGGCAATTAGGGCAAATATGAGTCGCTGAAGTAGGAGCGAGCAACTCTCATTCTTTACTCCTTTGAGTTTTTCACTCTCTAACCGCGAGAATAGTGCTCGGCCGTTAGCTTTGGAGCACGATAGAATGAGGAAGACACAGCCGTCTTCAGTTTCGTGGGTTAGTGGGAAGCAGACCGATTTTTCATATTTCAAATAGAGGGCAAATGGGTAATTTCACTTTCAGATTTATTTACCCTTAGGTCCCTAGGGACCTGGCATCTATTTCTTAAATTCATGGGATCTCAGCGTATTTAAAGTGCTTCCATGGGACTTTAGACTGATTCTCCCATTTCATAGTTATATCAAACCAATTAATTTTATCCAAAATGTTGGCTAATTTCAGTTGTTAATATTTTATCCAACGAAATCCTTCTGGATGTCAATTATGTTATGAGTCTGTTTCATTAACAATTACCATAGCAGAAGACCTTCCTACTAACATTTTTATATATCTTAGCCATTTGCTTGAACACAAGAAGAACATGGGAAAAAAATTAAAGAGCTATTGAATTATTATACAAAACTACTGAATATATCTAACACCACTGTTGAGTATACATTATTATATATCTTAGCCATTTGCTTGAACACAAGAACATGGGGAAAAAAGTAAAGAGCTATTGAATTATTATACAAAACTACTAAATATATCTAACACCACTGTTGAGTATACATGACATAACTCACTACTACAAAAATGAGATTTAGTAGCATGTATTTTGTAACAATAAAAAATAAAACATTATTAATATTAAAGCCGGAGTAGAGAAGTGGCATTTCTTATCTCAAATGCCAAAGCTCATAAATTATTTTTTATTTATAATTTTAGAAAATAACAAGAGGTGGCATTTCAAGAGTGATAAAATGCCACCTCTCTCTTTTTTTTATCAAATTAATATTTTGTTAATCACCAAAAGTAGATAAGTAATGTTTCCAATTAATGATTTTACTCTTTTAATCAAATTAAATAATAATTTTATGATAATTATTTAATTAGTAATTTTAATTAGTGTATAAAATTATTTAATAAATAAAAGCAGAGAGGTGGCCTTTTTGGAGTTTGAAAATGCCACCTCTCTTTTGATTTATTTTTTTATTTTATTTATAGTTAATATATAAAATTATTTAATAAATAAAAGCAAAGAGGTGACGTTTCTTAGGTGAGAAACACTACTTCTCTACTTTTTATTATTTAAATATTTTTATGAGATAAAATAATTACTTTATTATAATTTATTTAATTAAGGATTAATATGTAATTTTATCTTTAAATTATTCATCATAAGAATGTTACTCTTAAACTAATTAAATTGGAGCAATGTTGCCCACGTCATTAAAACGTCTATTATTGTAGCTAGTGGGGTCCACTTTTCATGAGTTAAGGTACAATTTTACTCCTAAATTATTCTCAAATGAGCAATATTTTTCTTATCATTTAAAAAATCATAAAATTAAAAAAATTATAATAATATTAAATGTATATATAAATATAAAATTATAGAATGTTAATAAAATATCATAAATTAAGAATATTATAAATTATAATTTTATAACTTATTAAATATAAGTAAATCTTGGTTAAATTAGATATAAGTGGAGTTAAAAATTTCTGCATTTATACCTATAACTATTGACCGGAGCCATTATTAACAACTCAATTTGGACTAAAAAAATTATTTTCATGATTGAGTTAGATTGGACAAGAGTTATGTTGCTATTAAGCTACAAACCAAAGTTGAATTAGGAACTGGAGCGGTTTTAAAAAAATTAGATGGTTTTAAACATAATATTAAAAAGATTAAAAAATTTTAAAAAATAAAAAAAATTCAAAATTAGATCCTACTAAAAGCTAACTTTATTTTTGAACAATTTAAATGTATAAAATATGATTTGAGACCTTTTTTAATAAAGATGTTAATAGTTATAGGTGTAAATGTAGATACTTTTGAGTCTACTTATATCTAATTTAATCAAGATCCACTTATATTTGACAAGTTATAAAATTATAGTTTATATTTTTTCTTATATTTATTTTTATATACATTTAATATTATTTTACTTAATATTATTATAATTTTATTTTTATATATACATTTAATATTATTTTATTTATTATTATTATAATTTTATTTTTATTTAATTTTATAATTTTTAAACGGTAAGAGCAACATTGCTTCTTTGAAAATAGATTAGGGACAAAATTACACTTTAACTCATGAAAAGTGGGTCTCACTAGTTGCAGGAATGGACATTGCTCTGATTTGATTAGTTTAGGAACAACATTATTATAATGAATAGTTTAGGGGCAACATAGCTCCTTTAAGAATAATTTAGGGGCAAAATTTTACCTTAACCCTTTAATTAATAATTTTAATTAGTATGTCATATTAGATAAATAAAAGAAAAGAAGTAGCATTTGCTTACCTTAAAAAAATGCCACCTTTATACTCTATTATAATTTAGTATTTTATTTTATCAAATTAAACATTTATTTTCTTATAATTTATTTAATTAGTATTTATGATTAATATATAATGATATTTAATAAATAAATAAAGAGAGGTTGTGCAATATTCACCTTGATATTATTAGAATAACACTCCAAACAACACTATTATGATAATCTAGATTAAGTAAATTTCTTATATAAGGCTATCATAACATAAGGGTTTAGAAAAATAAATAGTTTAAATATTGAGATCCCATGAAAATATTTTTTGAAAAGGAATTTGAACTCAAAAAATCATTTAAAATCAATTAAACAAGGTAACGAAAGATAGGAGTCAATTGCAACTCTTAAAACACATCAAATAGACATTTTGAAAATTTTTAGAAAAACCAACGTCTGCCACAACACAGGTATCACCTGCCACAGCGGACGACACAAAGGGACTTTGTCCTTCTTTGTATAGTGTGCTGCCACGCAAGGCAACACTCTTGCTATCATGACAACTCCTCTAGCTAACTTTCAAAGTACGCTATTTCACCATTCAATATTCAATTTAAGCGATTCAAGTCTTCACACATCATCTATTAAGCCTTCTAGCTATTGGCACTAGTCTCATACCTAAACAATCAACCATTTAAAAGTTGGACACCTGAATACAACATGATCTATAATACTTTTAAAACACATATAAGGGTGTCCAAAACCCACAATCTAATGCCAATAGCCTTGGAACCATCTGGACTAACTCAAATGGATCACACATAACCTGATAGATCAAATATACAAGAACAACAACTGTCTATACATAATTGGCAATCAAAACCCTAAATTCATAATAAATCAAAGGGGTGATAATATAATTTTACATAATAGTCTTGGTCATCCACACATGTAAAACATCACAAAAACATCACTTGTACTAGTAGTATCTCAACCTCTAACAATAATTCATTACCATCCATAATATTCTATGCTAAGATACTTATAACATTCTTAAAATTTAAACTTGATTAATTAAGCCTGATTAGAGTAATTGTGTTTATTAGTGAGGTGTGTGGCCAGAGTGGTCTAACGGGTGTATTTGGTTGTAACTTCAACACTAAATACAGGTTTGAAGTGAAGTCAAGTCACCCAGATGTGAACAAAAAAGAAAATTTGAAGGGTGAAATTTTATGCCACATGTCGTGGCTTGTGGATGACCCACTATGACACGTGTGCTAATGTGCCTGAGCAAGACTTCTTTGTGCCATACGCACATATGGTGCGTTTTGTATCTCATGAATTTTGAGAGAAAAGAAAGATAAAATGAAGAGAAGCACAAGATTCCTTTGCTAGGGCTTGCTTTCTTAAAGGTTTGGAAACATATTAGAGCTAGAATACATTTAAAGTAAGATTTTTAAGCTCATTTCTACCTTAGTCTTTAATTTTCTTTAATTAGGAAGTTAGTGTTTGATTGAGAAAGATAATTTTTGATCCATAGATACTATGGGACCGAACCCATTAATTTAAATAGAGTTAATGGGGGTTGATTAAGCTATTAAAACTGGCATTATGGCTTTGTGAGTGTTGGTGGTTAAGGGGCATTAAATATCCAAAATTTCACCATTAATGAAGTGATTAAGGCAATGTGGCTCCATTAATAATTTTTAAGAGTTTGATGAAGTTAGTATGAGTTAGAGGAAGATAAGAAACCCTATAGGTACCCTTATATGGAAAGAGATTGAATCTTACGAGTGAAGAAGTACTTAAGTTAATAGTAGAAATTATCTAAAAAGGGATATTAATGAATTATATTATGATTAATTGTAAAGTAAACATATTGGCACCATTCAAGCTTTATGAAAAGCTTTGGGAGTAAGTATTTGAGGGATGAAACCTTTGACCTCTTAAAGGTTTGAGATAATTGGGAGAATTCTTTCTTGTGCTTTTGTATATTAATTGATTTATTGAGTTATATTTGAAAATTAAAATGTGTGAAATTGAATAGAATGCAATTGTAGTATGAATTACTTGAAAAATCCACTATGATGATTTTATAAAGTCCAATGACATGTTTCCTTTAAAGTTCAATGATTTTATATTAAGTGGAGTGTGAACACCGTATTTTATCCGGACATTTTTTTAATTTAATAATAAATAATCAAAAAATATAAAAAATACAAAAATAAAATTTAATCCTTTTTTAGGATTATATTTTCAAAAAAAAATATTGCTTAAATTTTTTTTAAATCTCTCTCAAATTATCCAGCCATTCAAAGATATTGAAAATCAATTGTTTTTCTTTTTTTTTTAGACTTAGATATCTTTAAATTTCTCTCCTTAAATCTTTTTGTTCTCCATTTAAATATATATATATATATATTAAAATTAAATTTTCCTTTCCTTCCTTTAATCTAATTAAAAAAAGCATTAACAAGAATGGCAACAATGCTAGACATGTACATACAGAGCATGAGAAGCTTCACAGAGCAAGAAAAGCCCAGATGCAGACCAAAAAAAAAACTAAAACAAACACGAAAACACTTTGAGCTAGACGCATGCATGCACAGCAAAAAAAAGTGCAGAAGGAGCAGCAAGCAACCAACATACGTACACTTTTTTGGCTAGCAGAAAAAAGGAAACAGAACCAAAAATGCAGCATGCAGAGTAGACAAAATAGCAGAGAAAGCAGATGTTACAGCAAGGAAAAGGTGAGATGAAACAGAGCACAAATGCAGCACACACACGCCAGCTGAAATGAGCACAGAAAAATGCAAAAAAAGGAAAAACACACAGCCACACAAAAATGAATAAAGCAGAGCATAAAAGAGGAGAAGACAGCGAAAAAAAGGGAGGATAGAGCATAAGAGACGAAGAGGAGAAGCAGTCAGGGAGGAGAAGAAAAAAGGAAAAAACGTGGAAAAGAACACTGGAGACGGGACACAGAGAAAGAGAAGAAAAAATAGAGGAAAGAGAGAGCTGAGAGAAAATACGGAGAAGACAGAGAGGAAAAGGAACATTGGAGACGAGAGGCACAGAGAAAGAGAAGAAAAAACTGGAGGAAGAAGAGAGCTGAAAGGAAAATCGAGGAAGAGAAGAGAGGAGGAAAACTGGAGGAATGGGAGATGAGAAGAAAACAGAGAAAAACAGAGCACGAAGGAGAGAAAGGAAATGCAGAAAAAAATAGAGAGAAGAGAGCATTCGGAGAGAAAGAGAGAAAGAGAGAAGGAGAGATGAGAAGGAAACTAAAAAACAGAGCTTGAAGGAGAGGGAGGAGAGACCGAAGGAGGCAAAAAAAAAGAACAGAAAGCACAAGAGCACGGGGGACGGAAGAAAAGAAACTCAAACTGAACGAGAAAAATGGAGCAGAAAACCAGACATAGAAGAAAAGAAACTGGAGCATAAGAAGCAGAGCATCGAGACGAGGAATTTCTGGGGGAGAATAAGACAGAGAAGGAGTGCTATATCTGGCAAGAAGATTCTTCTGAAACTTGAAAAAATGAAGGAAGATAAATTGGCGGAAAGTACTGCGCCGGACACCATCATCTTTATCTCACCCCAAAAACTTGGCAAGCTGCACAGGACAGCTGCATCTCTCATCTTGCTGCTTCTCTTTCACTTTATGTTTCTTCCTCTTATGCCTATGGCTTTTACTTCGATATTTTTCCTTATTCTTCTTTTGTCTGTTATTCTTCTTGTGCCTTTTTGAATGATGAGATGAATCATGCTCGCTGTTAGATGAACTTTCACTTCTGGAGCAGTCGGACATGGAAGATGAATAATATGAATTAAAGAGCGGTGGTGCCTACGACATGGTTTGCAGTAGGATTTAACCTTTAGGGCTTCTTTATCTCGGACCCGGTGACTTATGTACGTTCTTTCTTGCTTAAAATTTTGTACTCCTTTTAAAATTTCATGTGCCTGTTTCTTTCAATCATATTATTTTGGAAAAAAATTAAGAGTATGCATATGTTTAATGTAAGACTATTGTTTATTCACAAATAACTTTAAGGCATCAACTTCATTTTGATTTTCATGCAAAATAAATTAGGTAATTAATGGTGGTGATGGTATGCGGATCTTGTTAATTTTAATTGTTGGATGCTATTACCGTTACTCTTATCATTTTCTTTCGAAAGTCATATCTGAGCATTAAACCAATTAAAAAAATTTGAGAAACATATCTTCAAGTCAAAAAAGGAGTGAAGTGTCAAAATAATTTCTTTCTCTATTCTTTCGAAAGCTAACTCATATTTTGTACCGACTGCAAATGTAAATATTTTGATTATCTATTTGTCGTGTGAGATTTTAAGAATCTCCGTAGACATTTAGAATGATTTTATACTGTGTAAATCAATAAGATTTTGCAGATATGAAGATCAATCTTATACGTATTTATAAGGGTTTCAATGACCCACCATAGAAACTTAAATTAATCACATCATTGTGGGGATAATAAGTCCTCACAGATGTATTGATTATCAATTTTTATAATAAATAAATAATTTTTGTAAATAATGATATAATACATAATTTAGAAAAATTAATTAATCAAATTAACGTATTTAAATTGTAATCATATTTACCAATTATATCTTTTAGTCATGTGAGATTTTTAAATCTTCGTAGACTTCTAAGATAATCATATTATCGTATGAGTCAATAAGACTCTGCAGATATAACAATTAAATTTTTAAAATATATATATATAAATTATATATTAAATTAATCAAATTAAGGATGTATTTAAATAAATTTAATTCATTTATCGTGTGAGATTTTAGAATCTCTGCAGATATTTAAGATAAATCGTATTACCGTATAAGCCAATAAGGCTATACAGGTATGATGATTAAAATTCTTTAAAAACATGTATCTACATGCTAAAAAATTATTATTAACACTTAAAAATGTACATAAGAATATAAATAAATAAATTAAATTGCTAAACTCTTTTATCGTGTGAGATTTCAGAATCTCCGCAGATATTTAGAGCAATTGCATTACCATATGAATCAATAAGGCTCTGCAAATACTGCGATTAAAATTCCCAATCATAAAACATAAAGAAAAATAATTTTAAACCCTTTCCTTTCTTTATTAAAAATTCAAAAATGGAGAAAATAATTAAAATTAAATTACCTTTTGTAATTTAAAACACACATATCAAAATTTCAGAAATTATTTTATTTGCAAAATGGTGAATAATTTCTAATTAATTTCTCTTAAAAAAAATATTTTCACCAACAAACTTTTAAGCCCGAACTACATGGACTTTGATCCCCATCACAGGGTACGTAGGCCTCAGAGTTAGATTATGAGTCAAGTCTGTCCTCCCTCGTAAATAAATAAATATTTCTCACTTAATTCTTATCATTTTTTTAAATGCATGAATATAAAATGGATAATTAAAATAATTATAAAATCATATTAATAGAGCACAACAAACTTCAAGTAACCGTTCTGATGAACGGGTGTTGTAGGGTGCCTAACACCTTCCCTACACTCAACCGACTCCCGAACCTATTCTCTGTTTTCATAGACCCTTATCCTCCTTTTAAACGGTTTCTTGAGATTTACCTCAAAATCCCGGTGGTGACTCCTTGTTCGATCCGGTTCCCGCCACGAGGGCTAGGACCTCCGCTCGTGCGCCGTCTGCGTCGCATTTTTTCGAGTGCGACATGGAGTCTAATGACTTTATGTGTAAGAAGTACAATGAAATAGTATTATGAAGTCCTATGATGTGATGTTTGAGAAGTTTAATAATTGTGTGATATGTGGCATTCAATGATTAATTGTAAATGGAGTTTATGACTGTGTGTTTTGGAAAGTTCAATGACTATGCTTAATGTGGAGTTCTATGATTAATTGTGAATATGTGTAATAAGAGTACCATAAGATAATTAAGCATGTTTGAGAAATGAATACTTGCATATTGTGAGTTATTGCATATTTATGCATTACATAGTTATGAGAGGTGGGAGTTTACCTAAGAAGAGGAGTAGAGAATTAAATCTACATGGCAAGGCTTCTATTAGAGCTTGATGGTTAGCCAGGATTGATTATATTATCTTACTTATTCAATAAGGGACTATCCTATTGGTTCAATGAGGGACTCAAACCTAGCTAGTTATCCACTTGTTTAATGAGGAAACTAGTCTAGGGAGGATGACATCCTATCGTGTGAGAAATAAGGGAAACCATGACTCACAAGTAAGTTGGGAGACCTTAGCTAGGTAACTTTTCACACATGTTTTGGCTAAGGTAGTCTCAATGTATAGATGATCCCAATGTGTTTATAGTCCATAGTTACATGTCAGAGGAATAAAGAGAATATAAGGGAGGTGTGATCATACATCTAGTAATAAAAAGAGCCACATGGTCGTTTGTTTTGTGACCCTAGTAAAACAACTCATGTAATGAGTTCTATTTCTACATAGAAATGTGTTACTTAATCATTATTTTATAAGCATATATATTATGAATGATAATTTGAATTATTCTCTTGAACATGTTAAAGGATTTGAAATTAATTATCTCTACCACTTGCATTTAAATTGATTCACATACATTAGTATGGGTTAGATAGACCTTGATTATTGAGTAGTTGCTAAAGAGGATAAGATCGAAGAAGACAACCTAAGGCATAGGATTAAGATCCTATTAGTAGGCCTCCTTTACTTTTTGAGTATTTATGTGTATTTTTCACATGAAATTGCTAACTAAGATTACTTTATACTGTGACTTACTTGCACTATAAGTTTTATTAATTTATATAGTATATTTTAGGCCCTAAGGTATATGTGTATGGACTATGGGATCTATGGTAAGGCCAAAATACTAGTTCAAGTGAGAGATGTATATGATATGTGAATTACGTTATTTAATTAATGAAATATGAGTATTAGAGCTCCCTCTTCTATTTTTGAGATTAAGGGATTGAGCAATAAAAACATGGTCTATGAGTTTTATTAGTGATATGGTGTGTTACATAGGTCCATCTTAGTCTATTGAGTGTGGTCTAGTGGTGTTTGTAGCTTTTTGCTTTTGATATGAGTTTTGGGCACTCAAATTTTATGTAAATGGTGAAAATGAGAAAATTTTAAAATGAGTGTCCGAATTTTGTATGACAAATAATTTAAGTGTGAAACTAAAGTCATTAGCTAAAGCTACAAGAAAACTCTCTATAGACACCCAAATTACATCAATCAGATATTAAATAGAGAAATGAGATAAGATAGAAGTTGTCTCGGGTGCTGTCAAATGACAATAGAATTCTATTGTCAAATAGCGTGCAATGTATCATAGCGCATTGTGCCTGAGCCATAACGCATGGCACAAAGGCTTACGAGCCATGGCGCAGGTGCAAAAAACTACAATGCATGCCTCAATTTTTGCACTATTTCACTGTTTTCCAATTTTGAGCAAATGCACTAATTCCTATAATCCCATATTTCCACACATAAAATAAACTCTGATTCTTTATTGTAAAGTTCTTTTAGAATGTTTTTAATTTTGAAAACTTGGGATCTCACTTATGAAATTTGACAAGATTGGTAATTATCATAATATTTATGAGTTTGGGGAGGATTAGTAAGGATAACCTTACTTGTCCATCCTTGAGTTTACAACTTGCTATCAGGATATCACAATACCCACAATTCACATATATCGATGCAAGTGACCCTAAAAACACACATAATCCTAAGTTAGCATAAAAATTCATAAGTTATTCGTTACAATATCAAAATAAAAAGAGGAAGAACTATACAAACTAAAGCTCTTCAATTATCGATAAGCCCTTCCTTCCTTTTGCTCTTAATAGATCTTTCAGTAATAGAATAACTCACAACTATGTTTATCACTTGGTTTGATAAGAGTGGTGAATTGGTACTCCATGTTTATGGTTAATGGATTTCAATTTCACATACAAGATCGTGCAATGGGGAAAAAAAACTCAAAACAGTGGAGTGATGGCTTTGGGTGATGATACTAACTTTAAAAAGGAATATTATGGTGTGTTAGAGCATGTTTATGAGTTGTCTTACATAGGGAATAGAATAGTATACTTGTTTAGGTGTCATTGGTGGGATGTAAGTCATATTGGTAGGGGATGTAAGGTTGACAAGTATGGATTCACAAGCGTGAACACTCAATATTCATTATAGACAGATGAACCATTCATTTTAGCATCTCAAGCAAAGCAAGTTTTCTATGTGGAAGACATTATCAATCTTAGTTGGCTTATTATTATCAAAACCAATCCACATGACTTATTTAATATGCCATTTGATAATGATATTGGTGCAATTGATAACAATGTTGTGATTAATGAAAAGGCCTATCAGCAGTTGGTGGTTGACTTGAATATATTTACTGAAAGTTTAATACAACCTGAGCTATTTATTGACTTGCTTAGAGATCATGTGCCATTAGAAACTTTTGTTGAAGTGGGTGAACCATCACAAACAAACAATTACACCACCAGCAATTTAAGATTCATTGGAAACACTAGTACACAATCACAATCACTAGTGAATAAAGATAGTAAGGAAGAGGAGTTACTTGATGAAAGTAGCACAGACACTGAAAGTGAGAGTGAAGAGAATGAATTATAGGATATCAAATCACAAGAAATTGATGCAAGTAAAAGTGACACAAAAGACCAAAATATATGTGTTTTAATACTATATATTACTTCTTACTTGATCAAAATGTTTTAATGCTATTAATTTTGCTTTATTAACCTTACTACTTGTGTTCTTGTAGGATATGTCTTCAATGTGTAAAGGTAGATATTGAGGAAGAGGCCAAGGTGGTAGAGGTCTTACTCTTAGAAGAGGAAGAGGAAGGCTTACTAGTATTGCTCCACAACTTTTACCCATTCAACAAGATAATAACACATTTCAAGCCCCTCAAGTAGATTTGCAAGAACCATTATTTTGAACAAGATGCAACCTCTCCCGTTACACAGATGAGTAGCGCAAGTAAGTTTTCTTTAACTTTAAATAATACAAATCAACTAGTTTTCATAATGTGTTGCATCTAATCATTTCCTTCCTTTTATTTGAAATATAGCTTCTAATAGTTCCTAAAAGAAGGGTAGAGGTATTTATAAGGAAACTAAACTTGACCTTCAGACAAAGAATGGTATTAAGCTTAATTTGAGACTTGCAGACAATGCAAATAGAGTATTGGAAGAACATGCGAGGGGGTTTGCATTACATTGTGGTTATGTTGTTAGGATCACAATTTCTTACCAGTAATCCTCAAGCAACCCTGATGTTGCTATTGAAAAGTGTTGGGATGAGTTTTTGTTGAAAGTTATGGTATTATTTTCACCAAATATATATAAATTTACTATATCTTTTCTTATTAAATTTCTAATAAGTTTATATGTTTATGTTTGCTTTAGGAAAAATATCAACCAAAGGAGACAATGAAAAAACAAACTAGGGATTAGAAGAGTAAGTTACATAGAGATTATTATCAAAAATATACTACTAATGAAGAGATGTTAGGTAAAATACCTCCATCCATTAGACCAATTGAGTGGGCTTCATTTGTATAACATTTTAGTTCTGATGAATTTAAGGTAAGCTTTTATATTTTTGTAAAGTTATAATATTCATAAGTAAAGTGAAATATTAATCAATTTAAAATTTTATTGCAGGCAATAAGTGCAAGAAACAAAACAAATAGAGGAAAGCAAGTAACAAAACATATTTGTGGACCTCGATCATTTGTAGAACTTGAAGATAGATTGGTAAGTTTTTAATTTTAATATCTTTATATCTCTATCATATTTTTTTCATTCATGTTTTTTTTAGAGATCCTGTTACTAGAGATTTGCCGTCACCTGATCAGATGTGGGAAATACAGCATACAAGGAAGATTATAGATGGACATTTTGAGTGAGCAGATCATTCAGAGAAAATTCATGTATGCATGTTCTTGTATCATTCAACTCTAACTTATTATATAAATCAATTTATTAATTAACTTTAATTTTTTTACAGGCTTGACTCAAGGATCTTGTACAACAACAAGATTCAAACAATGATTCCCAATTGACTTCAGATTAGATTTTAAGCCAAGTTCTTGGTAAAAGGTCAGGGTATGTCATATGTAAAGGTTGTGAAGTGCATCCTGTGAAAAAAGGGCTCAATCTCAATCTTTTGAGATGGAAAAAATATGACAACAAATGAAAGTAGATTTTAAGAGGAGACTTCAACAAGAGCGTGAGCAGATGGAACAAAATTTTTCTCAAAGAATTCGAGATAAAGTGGCTGCCATCATGGCTTCATTTCAGTAGGTAATTATTAATTTTACATTACTTATATTTATATTATTTAGAATTTGATTAATTATTTTTAAGATAAATTATAATTCATTTTGCTTTTTCTAGGGACAGTCTCAAGCACCAGCTCCAACTCCAGGTTCAACTCCAACAAATGATATATGAAGTGGTGGTGTTAGTTTCAATAGTTTAGCTACAAGATTAGCTTAGTTGTTGTATTGCTTTCCCTCTCATACATTGTTGGATTGCTTTTGTATTTTAATGTTGAATCAGATTGTTGTTATTACAAATTCTTGTATTGTAATTCTAATTCTATGTCAGTATTGTGTTATTATATTATTGGTTGTTGAATTTTAATGTTATTATTGCCATATATTATGTTGGATACAAGGAATTAAATGTAAAATTATAAATTAAAAAATTATTTTTTCTGCAAACAACTTTTAGCTGTAACCATAAGTTGCCACAAAAGAGTTGAAACATTAGTTTTATGCCTTGGCCTTTAGCGGCAATAAATTTTGCCACCATAACTATCGTTAGCAACGACAATCTTTGCCGTCAAAAGTAGATAAATTTTTTCTGCTTGACTTTTGGTAGCGACACTTTATTGCCGCCAAAAGTTTTTATCATTAACAACGACATAACTCCAAAGTTTTGGCGAAAACTTCCTAACTTTTAGTGGGGAGGTCAACTTTTGGCAACGACTATTTTTGTCATCATTAAAACTTTGTAGCAACAATCATTATGTCAGCAAATTTTTGTCACTGCTAAAGACCTTTAGCGACAACATTAGCAATTTCTGTTGTCACTAAAAGTCTTATTTTTTGTAGTGTAATCCAGGCTTAGCACTTTTCAACTTCCTAGCGTTAGCTCTGCTCTCACAAGCGTACAACATGCTATCAAACATCCGCGCAATTCAAACACATGCAATCTCAACCTTGGGTACAAGGGGAGTCTACTAACATACAGCCAAAATAGTTATAGTAATCTATTAACAATAATATCAAAAGCATTCAACATCAGTATTCAACTCTACCTAGCACTCGGGGAGCACAACAACATCATTTAGTATCCATAAGTGTCCTCTAGCCCATACAGTCCATCATACAACATGAAACCAAAGTATATTAAAACAAAAACCGAACATGTTATGTAGTCCAAGGGATCCTAATGTCATGACAGCACATCTGAAACAGTAGGAACAGTCAACAAGTGAGTCTAAGTCTTTGTAGTAGGAATCCTCCCTTTTACTCCACTGATATTGTAATGCTCTCCTTACCAAACCACACTTAACCATGATTATCTACACTACCATGATAATTAAAATACAACTAATCATCATCAAGTTTTACCATGATAGAAAAGGTTTAACCTTCTTTAAAATAGCCAACTGCAGAAAAGAATAAAACCATAGTTAAATTGTTTACTGTAGTTGAAAACGAGCTTACTTGTATAATATAATATTAAGAAAATATTCTGCTTGTTGGATAATAATAGCCAGACACCAAAGGAGGGTAAATTGAGTGTTCTTTAAACTTTTTTAAAAAACTTTTCCCAACCCAAAATTGAAGATGAGCGAAATAGAATTTAATGCAGAGATTTGCTAAAATAGATTACCAAACTTATTCACACTTATCAAACAAAGATAATTAGAAGTCCATGAACCTCTAAATTAATGTTAATCACAAATATTAAAAACATAAAAACTAATTCTTTAATAACTAATATCAAATATTATTTTGTGCATCAAAAATTATTTTGTTTAATAGTTAATAGGAAACATTATTCTAATATTTATAATTTTTAATTCGAAATCACTGAACCAAACTGCACTTTGTAAATATCAATAGCTAGCATTATAAAGTTTAGTTTAAAAATTATTTTTACTTAACAACATTTTATATTTTAAATAATCATGAAGTATTATTTTTTACTTAAAATTATTTTTTATTTTTTATCGACCCCGTGCATTGCTCTGATCATGTACTAGTATTTATAGAAATTTAATACTGTGTGTGTCTGTGTGTGTGTGTTTTTTTTTTTTTTGGGAAAACATGCTAGCATGGTACCTTATCGTTGCGTTTTTTCTATAAAAGCTCTCGCCCTTCTTGCCTTATGATTTTAGAATGTTTTTAAATAAAAACACTTCGACATAGGCGCTCCGGTAGCTTTTTCCTGCAGCAGCATGTAGTAAATTTTAAAACTAGTTTATTTCTTTTTTGTTATGATTGACTTGTTTTAATTATGGTCAAGCCTTTTTTACTATAGTTATCTTTATTGTAATTGATTATTTTTTAATTACTCCAAAGAGTAGATTATTTGTTGGTTAAGTTAGTGCAAGCTATCGCAGAACATGCAATAATCCTTTTTTTAGGAGCTTTAATGACAAGTGTTTTCTTTTCTTTTCTTTTCTTTTTTTTTTATCGACGATAAGATGAATATTATACAACAGCGAACTTTCCCCAAGTATATATATATATATATATATATATAAACTACGTCCATTTTGATTTGACTATATATAGTAGTAAATCAAAATCCAAATATTTTTGCCACGTCCCAGACAATTTTTTTAAGATACAACATGTTAATATATTAAAAAGAACGTGCCAGACTATTTTTAAAGTGAAATGATAACGGAGCATTATTGTTTGTTTATATGTCATCGTCTAGTGAAGTCACATCATATAAAAAAAACACCATTAAATCATGCAATAGCATCACAGCTCAGTTCGATGCCTTAAAGTTGTCACGAGTAAATTCGTGATAAGACCATTTCCTGTCTGCTTCCTAGCCAGACGCCATCACTGACCTAGCTGTAAATGCACCTTCTATAATTGTACGGATAATGACGATGGAATATAATTATAGTACGGACGAATAACACTTTTTTTTTTTTGGAAGTTAATGCATTTAAATCACAAACAAGAATCATTTCTTTAGAAGAAAAAATGCCTGCACTGAATCAGAAAGAAGATAAAATATCCATCAATGAAGGTTTAGCTTCGGACCAGGGAAACTTGACTGATAGGTTGAACGTATCAAATTCGACCTGGACTATATATAATTTGAATGCAGAGGTCTCACACTCTTGCAAGCTATGTTTTTCTGCATATCTCTGCTCAGTTTTCATCTTCAGCTCTTTGATCTAAAGACTACACGTAAAATTGTTAACATCTTTTATTATTTAAAACTTGAATTATAGCATCTTATTCTTGTCCATTCAAAGACAACAACTTGAAGTATCTAATTCTCACCTGGAAAAATTGGAAAAATCTATCCAAGTGTTGGTTGAAGAAAAGGAAGAGTTGGCAATGGTATGCACATGCTATGTTGTCTCTTGATTGTGGTGTGTCTTTTTTCCTTGGTAGCTTTTTCTTTATATCTAGGCAAAGTTGATTTATTTCTTGATCTCCTTAATCTTGAAGCAACTTACAAATTCCTTTTTGGAAATGAAGGAGGGAAAGGCAATGGTCTGCAAAGGAGAAAGTTGTAGATCAAGCTATAGAAGAAAAAAAGGCATGGTTAATGATGTGCAAACTAAGTCATTATCATAGTTGGTATTTATTGACAAGCCTTTGTTAGTTATTTCTTATATATTTATTGATAGGCTCTTGCAACAGTTGATATTTCTTTGCATTTGCTTACAAATGGTTTATGATTTAGTTAGGTAGATTTGGATCATTTGAAGTTGTAGAATGCTTTTGTAGTAATGATTATATATATTGTTATTGAGAAATAATGTTGTTTGGTTTGATATATACGAATTTTGGATGCTTTTAGAATTTTGTTGCACACTAATTTGTTGCTGGAATTTGTTTTTGTATTATGTAATATAGGAGCTACATTTCTAAAAAAAAAGAAAAAGACTCAAATATGTGGTGATTATTTGAAAATAACTGTTATATAGTTAGAAACTGTATAACGATAATCTTGAATAAGCATTATATAGTTTGATTTATATAGCGTTATTTTCAAATAATCATTATATAGTTTCGTCTCCAAATTTTATAGTGGTCACTTTAAAATAACTATTATATGTATCCCACAATTATTTGAAAATAAACATTATATATATTTCTAATATGTAGCAGTTAACTATCATTATATATTTATTTTGGGTATATATGGCGTCAAAATATATAGCTATTAAAAATCATTATATATATATATATATATATAATTAACCGCTATATATACCTTTTGTATGATAAAAAATGAATTAAAAATTACAAGAAAGGTAAATAAAAATTTCTTGGCCCTTTTCTATAATTTTTTAAATTATTGTCTATAATTTTGGATCCTTTATTATAATTTTTTAGCCCTTTCTTATACTTTTTGAGATTCTTTTTTTTATTTTTGTAATCAACTTACGAACAAAGTTAACTTTTATTCATAATAGAGATTAAATTGCACTGTTTTTTAAAAATTGAAGGGGAGTATTTTACCAAAAATAAATTTAAAGTTTCAAATGCTCTTGAACCTATAATTTAAGGGTTAATTTAGTCTTTTATCTTTTTTAAAAAAAAGAAAACCACATGGGAGAAAACACTCTTGAAGGGATCGAGGGGAGCTTTTCTTATGAGAAACGCTCTTGGAGGTCAGATTAATATATATTTTAATTTTTTTAAAAAAGGGACTTAAATTTTATTTAAAACTCTTTTTTGAAAAATAATTAAATTGTTACTTTTTTATATAAAATTTGAGAGTGTTTTTCCCAAAACATGCTTCAATATATATATATATATTCAATATCAGATATTCTTTCTAAAAAGATACCAGGGCATTTTTCACTAGAATATATCCTATACATCCTGTCTTATATTTTAGAGCATTTTTACCAATAAGGGATCTCTGATAGCTTTTTTTTTTTTTTTTTTGGTATTAGTCGTGTATAGTAGTTTTTTTTTCGGCCATCCACATGTAGTACATTTTAAAACTTTATTTATTCCTCTTTTATTGGGGTTAGTTTGTTTTAATTATGGTCAAGCCTTTACTGCCATAGCTAGTATCCTTTATTATCATTGATTATGTTTTATTTACCACAGAAGAGTAGTTTATTTCTTGGTTAAGTAAGGTCAACATTAAAATTAAAGTTTTTTGGGCCCAAACACACAATAGTCTTTCTTTTGAGGGTCTCCAATGACATTATCTTTATATTTGTGTGTGTATGAAAGACATTCTCTTTTCTTTTCTTTTTTGTGTAGATGAATATTATACCATGCCAAACTTTCAGAATATTCCAAAAAAAAAAAATCTAAACTACATTGATTTTGATTTTCAGACTCAAACAATAGTTAATTTGGTGTGATTATAAACGGTAGTCTTAATAATCCAAATGTTTTTGCCACGTCCCAAACTATTATTTAAGTGAAATACTAATGAAGCAAAATTATTTGTTGATATTTCATTGTCTAGTGAGGCCACCTAACATTAGTAAAGCCATTAAATCATGCGCATGCATCACAACTCGATGCCTCAAAGTTGTCTACGGAATAATTTCCATCGTGATGAGACCCTTTCCTGTCTGCTTCCTAAGAAGACGCCATCACATGACTCATCACCAGCTCATGAATGCACCATCTATAATTGTACGGATGATAAGGAAATATAATTATAGTACGACTTATTTTTTGTTAATTTTAGGGAGAGTATAATGAAAGTTTGGCTTAAAAACAGGAAAAATTAATTGATAGGTTGAACATATCGAATTTGATCTGAACTACATATATAATTTGAGGTTTCTGCTCTTACAATTTACATTTTTCAGCATTTTTTTCCACAAATTTTCATCTGCAGCTCTTTGATATAAAGATTACACGTAAAATTGCTAACTTATTTTATTATTTAAAATTTGAAATCTACCCTCTTACTCTTATCCATTCAGTGACCACTTCTTGAAGAATCTAATTCTCACCATGAAAAATTGGGAACATATATTGCGAAAAAGGAAGAGTCGGCAATGGTATGCACATGCTATTTTCTCTCTTGATTGCGATGTATGTCTTTTCCTTGATAGCTTTTTCTTTATATCTAAGTAAAGTTGATTTATTTCTTTATCTCCTTAATCTTTGAAGCAACTTGCACAGATTCTTTTTTGGAAAATGGAGGAAGGAAAGACAATATGGTCTGCAAAGGAGAAAGCTGTAGATCAAGCTATACAAGAAAAGTGTCATGAGCTGAGAGTCTGGCGCAGCACACGGCGCCCGTGCGGCGTCCTGGAGGACCCCATAATCCTCAGGACAAGCCTTAACACATACGGATCACACTGGTTTCGCCCTGTCATGGGCTCATCAGGGAGGCGGCACCAGCCCCCGACCAGTTGTGCACACAGTCCGAAGACTGAGGCAGAACACCCCCAATGCTAATGTCGCCCCCTTTACCCATATTGTGCGAGGCTAACTAGCGGATCGTTCATTACATTGGTCTTTACACGGTCACGGAGATATCATCCGTGACATTCTCCCACACCCAATCTAGCACGCTCTCGTGCTAGGGGAGAACGACTCCGCCCAAGGATCGTACGTACAGTACTGCCACAAACACATCAGCTTACTGTTGAGTGGCCACCCGAGTCCTGCACTCTTCGGACCCACTCACACCCGCGAGCCAACAGGAGTGGAGTCGACAACGGCCAACCTTCCCGCCCGAGTCCCCACTTTTGGACCCACCTGCTCGGAGGCCATTCTGAAGCGGTGTCGAGGCCGACCAGTCCCAACGTGGGACCCCACGCGCACACGACAGTAAAGTACATCCCGCTCTGATACCACTCTGTCACGGGCTGAGAGTCTGGCGCAGCACACGGCGCCCATGCGGCGTCCTGGAGGACCCCATAATCCTCAGGACAAGCCTTACCACATACGGATCACACTGGTTTCGCCTGCCATGGGCTCATCAGGGAGGCGGCACCAGCCCCCGACCAGTTGTGCACACAGTCCGAAGACTGAGGCAGAACACCCCCAATGTCAATGTCGTCCCCTTTACCCATATTGTGCGAGGCTAACCAGCGGATCGTTCGTTATCTTGGTCTTTATACGGTCACGGAGATATCATCCGTGACAAAAGGCAAGGTTAATAATGTATTAATGTGCATACCATGTCATTATCATAGTACATATATATTTATTGCAAGGCCTTTATCACAGTTATTTCTTGTATATTTATTGATAGACCCATGTCACAGTTGCTATTACTTTCTTTGCATTTACTTTTCTTGTAAATATTTTATGATTTAATTAGGTAGATTTGGATAATTTGAAGTTGCAGATGACCTTTTTAATAATGATTGTATATATTATCGTTATTGAGAAATAATGTTGGCGTTTGAAAGTGGTTCGATATATACAAACTTTGATGCTTTTTGGAATTCTATTGCATGCTAATTTGTTACTATAATTTGTTTCTGTATTATATAACGTAAAAAAGCCCCATATTTCTTTTTTTCTTCTTAAAGAAGAGATTCAAATATATACATTAATTATTTAAAAATAACTGCTATATAGTTGGAACTATGTAGCAGTCATCTTAAATAATCGTTACATGATTTGATCCATGTAATGGTTATTTTTTAATAATTGTTATACATATAGCACCACTACAAAAAAATAGCAAATTAATGATGAAATTTAATGATGAAAATTTATTCCATTACTAGTCCGTCACAATTCCGTCACTAATTTATTAACAAAATTTAGTGATGAAATATTCTGTCGTTAAAAAATAGTCGCTATTCCATTACTAAATCATTAAAAATAATTTTACCTATGGCATTTAGCGACAAAACATTTTGTTGTTAAAAATTTCATCATTATTCCATCACTAAACCCTTAGAAATAATTTAGTGATGGAATTTTTTTATAAAAATGGCCGTCATTAATTTTTAAGATACATTATTCTTATTTTGTGATAGCATTTGCAACGAAAAATTCCGTTGCAAAATTTTTCCATCATAATTGTTTAAATTTTATTATATGATTTGTAATATATATTTATATATAATTTATTATCATGTTATAAATAAATAATTTAATAATTATAATTTATTATTTTAAATTATTTAGACATTAATAATAATTATAATAATTTAAATTATTTATTTACTTATTATTTTTGATAACATAGTAACATGCCTAATTATTGTTATTTAAAAAATATAAAATGTTATATATTGTAAAAGTATAATAAAATTTATAGTGATGATAAAGCATTTGTTCATTTTAATATTAAAATTTTTTATCAAAATTTTTTTTTAAAATTATAATTTAAAATTATATAAAAATTAATTTATTTTATTGATAAATAAAAATAATGTTAAATAAAATAAATATGTTTAAATTATATATTTATTGATGCATGTGTGGGCAATTAAATATTATATATTTAATTTATCAATTAAAGATTAAAGATCTTCTTCAGCTCAACTGGAATAATGTTGGATGCAAAGACTCATGAATGTGTAAGATTATGAGTTTAAATTTAGCCAAAGCACACTTGAAATTATTTAAAATTAATATATGATGTGGAGGTGACATGGTGGTGATATGGTAATGTGGAGGCAAAATGGCAAGAAGGGGTCATGAGGTGGCAATGACATGGCGATGAGGTGGCACTAGTCCACTTGGTGATGTGGCAATGATGATTTTTATAAAATTTTCATTTGCGATGAATTTAGGGATAGAATGCATTCTGTCACAAAATTATAATAATTTATCCTTATTTAAAGATGAAATTTTTTTATCACTAATGGAATTATAATTCTGTCACTAATAATGAATTAGTGATGGTATTTTTACTGACAAACTTATTTCATCGCTAATTTTGTTACTACCCCATTTAGCGACAAAATCTATATTGATTAGCAATCTACTATTTTTTTTTTGTAATGCTGGTTATTTAAAAATAATCGTTATATATTTATATATTTGGTTGAAAATAGGTCACATTTGTTGTGGGAATATAGAGCCAAAATATATAATTTTTCTCTCTCCTTTTTAATAACTTTTTGGCTCTTTCATAATTTTTTACTCAATTAATAATCAAAATAACTTTTATTAATGATAACGATCGCATTGCATTATTTTAAAAAATTAAAAAAAAATATTATATTAAAAATTAATTTAGGATCCCATGTAGGCGCTGGGGAGCTATAGTGCGTTTTAAAGTAAAATTACTCTTCAGCGCAATACCTGTATAATAATTATCTTAAGTTAATTTGGCGCGAAGTTGGTGCGGGTTCCTAGTTTCTAGAGAAGTTTTAATAACAATAGAGTTAATGTGGAGTATCAAACTTATTTCAACAAAGTTAATAAAAAAGAAGCCACGAAAAGACAAAAGACTATGATTAGTTTTTTTTTTCAATTACATGTATTGATGATCATATTGACTTGATTAATAAAAAGTACATTTTCCTGATTAAAAAAAAAAAAAGTGCTTCTTCCTCGTGGGTCAATCGTGAAGTAATGTGTTTAGAAAAATCATTACTTTTCCAAGAGCAAAACGTATATATATAAAGTGGACGAATCTATAACCATCACCAGGCTCCCATATTTTTTCCACGCCAAAGTTGTTCCCTTATTGTGTATTTTAAAAGGTTTACGATATTGACATAATATGTAAAACTTTTCAAAATTACATATGAAAGCACTTACATCACAATCAAATTTTGTTTCATCTAGTAGTCTCATACCAAACCTTATCACAAGCAATAGTAGTAATTCATTTCAATTGAGATAATTAAGTGACCCTTAATAATTCTTTTCCCTTTTTGTTTCAATTCATCAAAGTTTTTTTAATAAATATATATAAAACCATCGAGTATAAGAATACAAATGAACAATATATCATTAATTATATTCATCATATATTTGATCTCCCTCTACAAACTGCGTGCACCATGCAAATGAAATCCCCTCAAAATACTTTATTTATTCAGAAAAATCTAAAACATATATAACCAACTCCAATAAACCCTATTTTTGTGGCCATCATTTTCCCTCTCATACATGAACCATTTTTAACAATTATTTTTATTATTACAAAAACAAAGAACATAACTCTCATGAGGATCCACTTATACATATAATAACATATATGTATATAACTCTAAATAGAAATATATCTTTATTCATTATTCTCCATACAAGACCACAGCAATAATGATTAATGAGTCTTTAGCTAACATTATTGTTCACCCTATTACGTTATCTTCATTAACTTAATGATCACAGCGACTCACGCAGCAAGGTCGTGCTCCACCATAGCTACTCCAAACATAAAAATACCCTCCATAACGTGGTGGAGGCCCACCGCAGCACCCAAAGCATGACCCACCAGGCCGGCCTCCCCAGCACGAATCACAACACGTTCTACCTAGAACCAGCGTTGAGACCACTGGTGGCACCAACTGGCGGGGACCACAACCCTCAAAGCATGGCCCACACGGCTGGCCTTCGTAGCACGAAACACAGCACTTTCTATCTGGACATGGCTTGCAATCCGAATCAGGTGGTGGTTGGACAATTTCGATGCTCTTAATGGCGCCACAACCTTTACAGCAAAGCTGATCCCTAATCCTCTCTGGGCTACAGCACACCACTTTAATCGTCACAAGGTCCTGCTTCTCATCGAACACCTGGTCTTGAATTTCTCGTGTTCACAAAAATCCAAAACCACACAAATCCACAAGATGAACTCAATTTTGTGATTCCAAAGAATAGTACGCATGCGAATTTCAAAAGTGAATGAAGAAAAAGAAGGGATCGGAGAGGGAGAGAGCTATGAGTATTGAGAGAAACTTACGAGGGAATTGACAGAGAACATTCTTGACCTTCTTGTAGCATTTCTCACACTGGAGATCAACCTTGAGCTTCATTGTGGTTACCTAAACATATAATTACAAGTAAGGAACAGAATCAGCATCCATCTGATCGATATGATTCACATGGATGATTAAACGGAAGAGATCATCAAAATGAGGGATTTAGGAAGGAGATCAAAAGGAATTGTATGTACCTTTTTAGTCATGGCTGAATGATGAGGAAATGGAGCTCAGAGATGAGAGAGATGAAAATGATGGAAGAAGAAATTGAAAGTAATAATAACAATGGGAATGGAAAGAAAGCGAAGCTATCCTGCACGTTCCGCCTTATATTTTAGAGCGTTTTTACCAATGTGGGAGCTCTAGTAGCATTTTTCTGTACTAGTAGTGTGCATTAGTTTCTTTTTTACTTTTTTTGGGCCATCCATATAGTAGATTTTATAACTTAATTTATTCCTTTTCTATTATCGTTAGCTTGTTTTAATCATGGTAAAGCCTATGCTATCATAGTATCCTTCATTATCATTGACTATCTTTTATTTATCATTGAAGAGTGGTTTATTTCTTGGTTAAGTAAGGTCAACATTACAATTTTTTTGGGCCCAAACATGCGATAATCTTTCTTCTGAGGGCCTCCAACGACATTCTCTTTTCATTTGGAAAAAAGAGACATTCTATTTTTTTTTTAGGTGAGTATTATACCATACCAGACTTCAAGAATATTTCAAAGAAAAAAAATCTAAACTACATTCATTTTGATTTTCGGACTCAGATAATAGTAAATTTGGTGTGATTATATATAGTAGTAATAAAAATCCAAATATTTTTGCTAGGTCCCAAACTATTTTTTTTAAGCGAAATACTAATGGAGCAATATTATTTGTTAATACGCATGTCATTCTCTAGTGAGGTCACTTGATATAAAAAAGCCATTAAATCATGCACATGCATCACAGTACGATGCCTCAAAAGTGTCTGAAGAATAAATTCGTGATAAGACCATTTCCTATCTGCTTCCTAACTAGACGCCATCGCTGACCTGCTTTGTGAATGTATCCTCTCTAATTGTACAGATCACAATAAGGAAATATAATTATAGTACGGACAAATGAATTATTTTTTTGTTAATTTAATATATTGTCATGGTTTTGGAAGAGTACAAAAAGCTGGAAGTCATCGCATTTGAATCAGAAACAAGAATCATATCTTTGGAAGAAGAACTGCATGTCTGCATTGAATGAGAAAGAAGATCAAATATCTATCAATGAAGGTTTGGCTCCAGAACTAGAAAACTTGACTGATAGGGTTGAACATATCAAATTCGACCTGAACTATATATTTGAATGAAGAGGTTTGTGCTCTTATAATTAAGCTGCGTTTTTTTTTTTTATTGCATATCTCTTCTTAATTTTCATCTTCAGCTCTTTGATCTAAAGATTACATGTGAAATTGCTAACATCTTTTATTATCTAAAGCATGAAATGTAGCATCTTAATCTTGTCCATTCAGAGATAACAGCTTGAAGAATCTAATTCTCACCATGAAAAAATTGGAAAAATCCATCGAAATATTGGTTAAAGAAAAGCTATGCAAATGCTATTTTCTCTCTTCATTGTGATGGATCTTCTTTCCTTGGTAGCTTTTTCTTTATATCTAGGGGTAAAGTTGATTTATTGCTTCATCTTCTTAATCTTGAAGCAACTTACACAGATTCTTTTTCGGCAATGGAGGAGGGAAACATAATATGATCTGCAAAGAAGAAAGCTGTCGATCAAGCTATAGAAGAAAAAGGCAAGGTTAAAAATGTGCAGACTATTTCATTATATTATCATAGTAGATATTTATTCACCAGCCTTTGTCACTGTTATTTCTTGTATATTTTTTGATAGGCTATTGTCACAGTTGATATTTCTTTGCATTTACTCTTCTTGTAAATACTCTACAACTTAGTTAGGTAGATTTGGATAATTTGAACTTGTAGAAAGCTTTTGTAATAATGCTTATATATTGTTATTGAGAAATAATGTTGAATTTTGAAATTGGTTCAATATATAAGAATTTTGGATGCTTTTAGAATTCTATTTCATACTAATTTATTGCTGGAATTTGTTTATGTATTATATAATGTAAGGATTGTTAGAAATGTAGTCCCATATTAAAGAAAAAACAGAAAAGACTCAAATATATAGTAGTTATTTAAAAATAACTACTGCATAGCTAGAACTATATAGCTATTATCTTGAACAACAGTTATATAGTTTAATCTATATAGTAACTAATATATATATTATTAGTTTAGTCTTCAAATTAAATTATATAGTGATTCTTTTGAAGTAACCACTATGTATACCTTTAATATATAAAATGATTAAAAACTGTTATATGTTTGTTCTAGTACTATATAGCGCCAAAATATATAATTTTTGTGACCTTTTTTAAAATAATTTTTTAGTTTTTCATAATTTTTTAATTGACGAACGATTAAAATTAATTTTTATCAATGGTGAAGATGACATTACATTATTTTTAAAAATTAAAAAAAATATTATATTAAGAATTAATTTTGGATTCCATGCAAGCTCTTAAAACCTAAAATTTAAGAGTAAAATTACTCTATAACCCAATACTTATATAATAATTATCTAAGTTATTTTGGCGCAATTTTGGCACGGGTCCTAGTTTCTAGAGAAACTCAGATAACAAGAGAGTTAATGTGGAGTATCGAACTTTTTTTATAAAAAGAGGCCACGAAAAGAGAAAAGACTATAATTGGTTTTTTTTTTTTTTTTTACCATCCTTCTCGTGGGTCAATCGTGAATTAATGCTTTTAGAAAGTTCATTACTTTTCCAAAAGCAAAAAGTATACATGTAACGTGGACAAATGTATAACCATCACCTAGTTACCATGTTTCTTTTCCCACCAATGTGTTTCCTTATTGTGTAAAAGGTTTTCGACATTAACATAAAATCCAAAAGCAAAAAGTATATATATAAAGTGGACAAACGTATAAACATCACCTGGTTACCATATTTCTTTTCCCACCAAAGTGGTTCCTTATTGTGCAAAAGGTTTTCGACATTAACATAATATGTAAAACTTTTGAAAATGATATATAAAAGCACTTACATCACAATCGAATTTTTTTTTTTCATTTAGTACTCTCATATCAAACCTTATCACAAGCAAAATTAATCATTGATTTCAATTCAGATAAAGTAACCCTTGATAATTCTTTCCCCTTTTTATTACAATTCATCAATTTTTTTATAAACATACATATATACATACATACATATATAACCATCGAGTATAAGAATACAAATGGACAATATATTATTAATTGTATCCTTCATATATTTTTTTTTATTGTCAATATTCTTCATATCTTTGATCTCCCTCTACAAACTGCATGCACATGCTAATGAAATCGCCTTAAAATGCTTTATTTATTCAGAAAAATGTAAAACATATATAAACAACCCGCATTTTCCCCCTCATATGAACCATTGTTAACAATTATTTTTATTAGTACAAAAACAAAGAACATTTATTTGATTTGACTCATGAGGATCCATACAAGAATTCATAAATTTGATTAAACAAAGAAATTAAAACACACATATATATAACTCTATATATAGCAATATATCGTTATTCATTATCCTCCACACAAGGCCACATCAATAATGAGCCTTTAGCTCACATTATTGTGCATCCTGTCACGTTATCTTCGTTGACGTATTGTTCACAACGGCTCACGTAGCAAGGTTGACGTCCTCCACCATAGCTGTCACAAGCAGGCCTGGCATAAAAATACCCTCCATAACATGTTGGAGGCCTACCATAACTCTCAAAGCATGGCCCACCATGATGGCCTTCATAGCACGGAACACAGCATGTTCTGTTCGGAATGGGTGTTGGTCCTGGCTTGGGTGGACCACAACCCTCATGGCATTGCCCACTACGCCAGCCTTCATAGCATGGAGCACAACACGTTCTATTTGGAACTGTTATCGGTTTCACCGGTGGATTCAGCTGGCACGGTAGGGGTTCAGTCGTGGGGTTTTCATCTTGGCACTTGGGCTTTCCCGGATCAACAGGTTTCTGGCACTTGGGCTCAGGAGGACATTCGATCTTCGATGATTCGACAATTTCAATGCTCATGATGGCACCACCACCTTTACAGCAAAGCTGATCCCTAATCCTCTCTGGGCTACAGCACACCACTTTAATCGTCACAAGGTCGTGCTTCTCATCGAACACCTGGTCTTGAATTTCTCGTGTTCACAAAAATCCAAAACCACACAAATCCACAAGATGAACTCAATTTTGTGATTTTGAAGAATAAACGCATGCGAATTTCAAAAGTGAATAAAGAAAAAGGAGGGAGAGGGGGAGAGCTGTGAGTGTTGAGAGAAACTTACGAGGGAATTGACAGAGAACATTCTTGACCTTCTTGGAGCATTTCTCACACTGGAGATCAACCTTGAGCTTCATTGTTGTCACCTAAACATATAATTACCAGAAGTAAGGAACAGAATCAGTATCGATATGATCGATATGATTCACGTGTATGATTAAACGGAAGAGATCATCAAAATGAGGATTTAGGAAGGAGATCAAAAGAAATTGTATGTACCTTTTTAGTCATGGTTGAATGATGAGGAAATGGAGCTCAGATGTGAGAGAGATGAAGATGATGGAAGTGGAAATTGAAAGTAATAATAACAGTGATGGAGTGGAAGAAAGCGAAGCAAGGTCCGCCTTATATTTTAGAGCATTTCTACCAATGTGGGAGCGCATTTTTTGGTAGTAGTAGTTTATAGTAGATTTTTTTTTTGGCCATCCATATACTAGATTTCATAACTTAATTTATTTTTTTTTCTAGTATGGTTAGCTTATTTTAATTATTGGTCAAGCCTTTGCTACTCTAGTATCCTTTATTGTCATTGCTATATCTTTTATTTATCATAGAAGAGTAGTTTATTTCTTGGTTAAGTAAGGTCAGCATTACAAATTTTTTGGGCCCAAACATGCAATAATCTTTTTTTGAGGGTCTCTAATGACATTCTCTCACTCTCGCTCTCTTTGTAGATGAGTGTTATACCATTAGAGTCGGTAATTCGAGCCAAATCGACAGGCTAGTCAGAATTGATTAGAAAAATTTTAGGGTCGGGCTTAAAAAAAAGATATTTTTTTATGTTCGGGCCTATTCGGGCCGGCCCGAATAGGCCAGAATACCCGAATAAAAAAATTATATTTTTAAAAAATATATATAATATAATAAATATTAATTAATTCTTTAAGTTTTAGATCATTTTATACTAAAATACCATATATTTAAGTCCTAGACATCATTTAAGTATTAAAAAAATATATTTTATATTTTTTATAAAATAAAATAATTAATTTCAAAGTAAAAAATAATTAAAAATAATTTTAAAAATTAAATTCGGGTATTCGGGCCGCCCGAAGCCCGAAAGAATTCGGACCGGGCTTGACTATTCGGGCTTTTCAAGGAGTCGAGCCTGTTCGGGTTTGGGCTTATTTGGACCGGGCCCGAATAGGCCCGGCCCGCCCGAATTCCCGACTCTATATACCATTCAAACTTTAAGAATATTTCAATAAAAAAAAATCTAAACTACATTCATTTTGATTTTTAGACTCAAATAGTAATAAATTTGGTGTGATTATATATAGTGGACATAAAAATCCATGATCGCATTCGGTGCTCATCTCTGTAGAGAGCACTGAATGTTTATCAAAACTAGGAGTAATCCTGACCCTTCATTTCAGCCCATATTGTTCCTACCATCCATTTAAATTAATTTTAAAATATTTTTAATATTATCTTTATTAAAATAAAAGATATAAAAAGTTTAATATTAAATCTTGATTATTTAGAGTACATTTAAATAGTTAGTTTGTAAAATTTATAAATTTTTAATATTAAATTAAATTATTTAAATTATATCTGAATTGTCCAGAATTTATCTGGATAGTAAAACCATAAAATTATAAAAATTTTTAATATTAAACTAGACTGTTAAATTAAATCTGTATTGGTTAAATTAGTAATGAACAAATTTATTAAAATTTTAAAATTTTTTATATTTTATATTAATAAATATAATATTAAATATATTTAAAAATTAATTTAAATAAATAAAAGGGATAAATTTAGATTAAAAATAGAGGGTCAGGATTGCTCCTGACTTTAATAAGCATGCAATGAAAACTGAATGCAAATCCATAAAAGTCCAAATATTTTTGTCAGGTCCCAAACTATTTTTTAAAGTGAAATATAATGGAGCAGTATTGTTTGTTAATATGTCATTCTCTAGTGAGGTCACTTCATATAAAAAAGCCATTAAATCAGGCACATGCATCAAGCACCGTGCCTCAAAAGTTTTCTAACGTGACAAGGCCATTTCTTGTCTGCTTCCTAGCTAGACGGCATCACTGACCGACTCATGAATGCACCTTCTCTAACTGTACGGATGATGATAATGAAATATAATTGTAGTACGGACAAATGAATTATACATATATGCATACATACATACATATTGTTAATGTAATATGCTGTCGTATGGTTTTGGAAGAGTACAAAAAGCCGGAAGTCATTGCATTTGAATTAGAAACAATAATCATATCTTTGGAAGAAGAACTGTCTGCATTGAATGAGAAAGAAGATCAAATATTTATCAATGGAGGTTTGGCTTCACAACTGGAAAACTTGACTGATAGGTTTGTGCTCTTGCAAGCTTCGTTTTTCTGCATGTCTCTTCTCAATTTTCAGCTTCAGCACTTTGATCTAGCATCTTTTATTATTTAAAAGTTGAAATATAGGATCTTGTTCTTGTCCATTCAGAGGCATCAACTTGAAGAATCTAATTCTTACCATGAAAAATTGGAAAAATCTATCGAGGTGTTGGTTGAAGAAAAGCAAGAGTTGGCAATGGTATGCAAACGCTATTTTCACTGTTGGTTGTGACGCATCTTTCCCTTGGTAGCTTTTTCTTTTTATCTAATTAAAGTTGATTTATTGCTTCATCTCCTTAATCTTGAAGCAACTTACACTCTTTTTTGTAAATTGATGAGGAAAAGGCAATATGGTCCGCAAAGAAGAAAGCTGTAGAGCTAAAGAAGAAAAAGGCAAGGTTAACAATGTGCCCCTATATCATTATATTATTATAGTAGATATTGACTGACAATTCTTTATTACACTTATTTTCTATATATTTATTGATAGGCTATTTTCACAATTCATATTTCTTTGTAATTACTTTTCTGATAGATTTGGATTATTTGAACTTGTAGATAACTTTTGTAGTAATGATTATATGTATTGTTATCAAGAAATAGTGTTGGATTTTGAAATTAGTTTGATATATTCGAACTTTGAGAATTCTATTTCACACTAATTTGTTGCTGGATTTTGTTTCTATATTATATAATGTAAGGGCCATTGGAAATATAGCCCCATATTTAAAAAAAAAACAAATGACTCAAATATATAGTGATTATTTAAAAATAACAGCTAGATAGTTAAAACTACATAGCAATTATCTTGAATAACCGTTATATAGTTTAAACTATATAGCATTTCTTTTGAAGCATCCACTATATATATCTCTAATATATATAATGGTTAAAAAATGTTATATGTTTGTTGTTGTAATATTTAGTACAAAAATATATAATTTTTGTATCTTTTTTTAAAATAATTTTTTTATATTTTTTTGTAATTTTAAAGAATCAAAATTAACTTTCGTTAATAATAAAGATGATATTGCATTATTTTTAAAAGTTAAAAAAATATTATATTAAAAATTAGTTTTGGGTCCTATGCAAGTGCTTGAGATCTTGTGGTCTGTTATGAATGGGCCTAGTGGATAATGGGCTCAAAAGCTGTATTCAATTGGGCTTGAGAAGGTGGAAAACGAGGGCATGAATGTAACCGACAAAATGCTGAAGCAGAGTATCGAGCAGACCATCAAAGATTTTGCTAAAGCTTGTTCCCCTCGAGTCTGCTTTCCTTCTGCCTGAATATTCTGCTCTACTTATTTGCATCCTTCTATTATTTTTGCTGTTATTGCTTTAATTTGGCTGCAATTGGCTTGACTGAATACACCTTTGATCTAAGCTTTACTAATTGATGAATATTTCAAGTTGAATATCAGTTTCCTTCATTATATTATTTAATTCTTACTTAAGAATTGGTGATCATAACATGGTCAATCGTGAATTAATGCTTTTAGAAAGTTCATAACTTTTTCAAAATCAAAAAGTGTGTGTGTGTGTAAAGTGGACAAATCAATAAGCATCACCATGCTACTATGCATATTTCTTTTCCCACCAAAGTAGTTCCCTTATTGCACGATATTAATATAATATGTGAAACTTTTGAAAATTATATACAAAAGCAATTACATCGCAATCAAATTTTGTTTCATTTAGTACACTCATATCAAACCTTATCACAAGCAATAGTAATAATTCACTTCAATTGAGATAAAGTGACCCTTGATAAGTCTTTTCCCTTTTTGTTTCAATTCATCAATTTTTTTTATAAATATATATATATATATATATATGTATGTATAACCATCGATTATAAGAATACAAATGGACAATATATCATTAATTATATTCTTCATATCTTTTATCTCCTTCTACAAACTGTATGCACACGCAAATGAAATCGCCTCAAAATGCTTTATTTATTCAGAAAAATATAAAACATATATAAACAATTTTAATTAACCCTATTTTTGTGACCCGCATTTTCCCTCTCATATATGAAGCATTGTTATCAATTATTTTCATTATTGCAAAAGCAAATAACATAAATTTGATTAGACTCATACGAGGATCCATACAAGAACTATAAATTTGATTAAACAAAGAAAACACCCACATATATAACTCTATATAGCAATATATCATTATTCATTATTCTCCATACAAGGCCCCATCAATAATGAGCCTTTAGCTCACATTATTGCGCACCCTGTGACGTTATCTTCGTTGACGTATTGACCACAACGGCTCACGTAGCAAGGTTGTCCTCCACCATAGCTATCATAAACAGGCATAGCATAAAAATACCCTCCATAACATGGTGGAGGCCTACAATAATCCTCAAAGCATGGCCCACCAGGCCGGGCATCATTGCATGAAGCACAACACGTTTTACCCGTTGTCGGTGGTAGCGACTTCGGAGGACCACAACACTGAAAGCATGGCCCACATCGTCGGCCTTCATGGCACGGATCACAACACGTTCTATGTGGAATCAACTCGGGCTTAAAGCATGGCCCATCATGCCGGCCTTCATCGCACGGAACACAACACGTTCTACTTGAAGGCGGTGGTGTCGGCGGCAGTGGGGTTGGCTTGTCCTTCTGCTGTTTGGTTTTCTTTTCCTCCTGCTGCTCCGGCTGCTGTGTGGTTTTCTTTTCCTCCTGCTGCTCCGGCTGCTGTGTGGTTTTCTTTTCCTTCGGTTCGACAATTTCGATGCTCTTGATGGCGCCACATCCTTAACAGCAAAGCTGATCCCTAATCTTCTCTGGGTTACAGCACACCACTTTAATCGTTACAATGTTCTGCTTCTCATCGAAAACCTGTTCTTGAATTTCTCTTGTTCACAAAAATCCAAAACCACAAAAATCCACAAGATGAACTCAATTTTGTGATTCCGAAGAATAATGCGCGTGCGCGAGGGGGGAGAGAGAGAAACTTACGTGGGAATTTACAGAGAACATTCTTAACCTTCTTGTAGCATTTCACACACTGGAGATCAACCTCGAGTATCATTGTTGTCACCTAAACATATAATTACCAATAGTAAGGAACAGAATCAGTATCGATATGATCGATACGATTCACTTGTATGATTAAACGGAAGTGATCATCAAAATGAGGATTTAGGAAGGAGATCAAATGGAATTGTATGTACCTTTTTAGTCATGGCTGAATGATGAGGAAATCGAGCTCAGATATGAGAGAGATGAAAACGATGGAAGAAGAAATTAAAAGTGATAATAACAGTGATGGAGTGGAAGAAAGCGAAGAATGTAACGAAACATGAATGAGAAAGAAAGCGTAAGAAGGATTAAGTACGCAATTGCTTGGGCTTCACTACAAGGTCCCCTGACCAATCATGTGCGACCACGTGGCATAGAGTTGTTCATAGGATTGTTGTCATATGGAACTAGAAATTCGTGTGGGTGAGCGTGCAATTGACACCTTCGCACACCACGTCCCTCAGGCTTTTTTTAATTTTTTTTAAATTATTATGTAATAATATGGTCTGAACATTTTTCAATTTAATATAATTTTATCTTATCATCAATGTTTGACTATATTGACCATTATTTGATTTATTGACCATTATTTGATTATTTTGTGTAGTGCTGGTAGCCATGTTCCATATTTTAAAAATCTAAAAAAAAAAAAACAAATAGATCCATGTAATCTTTTTTATTGTAAGCTCCTCTGTGTCCACCTCCTCCTCCTTCTTCATCGCAACCTTCATTACTAGAAATGAAAATATAGCAAAGCAAACAAAACCCCAACAACCTTAATTAATTGCGATTGTAACAAACAATAAATCTTCATGCTGTGAAACTCCAAAACATTATATCATTATTTAGTGAACAAGTTTCATATTTTAAACAAGAACCCAAATAAAAATAGAAATGAATAGGCCATCGAACAAGAAGAAATCAGAATCCAAATCGAATGAAGATTTAGAATAAGAAAAAATAAATCGAACAAGAAATAACGAAGGAAAAACCTAGATCTAGAATGCAACATATAAGTCCAATTGAGAATGCTAGGCAAAAATAAGTTAGGAAAAAAATAAGAACGAAACTTCATATGAAATTAACAATAATTGATTCTAAGGACTTCTATTTAACAATTTAAATGCAAAATAAAAAACAAAGATAATAGATCTGGAAAAATTAAAGAAGCATTCTCATGAAGGAGATAAACTCGAACTAGTATCACACAGTTTGAAAAACCACATATCTAAAACAAAAAACTACTAATTGTGGTTACAAATTTGAAATATTAGTCTTTCATTTAATAATATAACCAAGGATGATAATGACATAGAGTTGAGAGAGAGTGGCAGCAGTGAGATAGGGTACCACACAAACTAGACGATGGTGTACGGAGTAGTGCAAGCACAAAACAGAGGAGAAGGGACACATGTCACGTCGAAGGCCACGGTTGGAGTTGATCTTGTGAGTGTTGAAGTGAGAGAGATGCTTGAATAAGAGATAATGTTAAGTATGGAGTATTAGGGGAATGAAGTTGTGTGAGAGGAAGAGAAGGAGAGAGAGGGTTGAGTGTTGTGAAGGTGAAGTGTGGGGCATAGGTTTGAATGTGAGAAATGACAATGAAAGAGAAAAAGAGTATGTATGCCATTAGATAAAGAAATCATTGGTTCAAGGATAATGATATCATCAACTGTTTTGCATATAAAATATGTACATTTTAAAATTTTTTTGAGTTAGAAAACTATATAATGGTTTTTTTAAATAACTAATGTCGTACTCGAAAAATACGACGCCGACGGTGCGAGAGCGAAGGTTCCGGCCTTTGGGAAGAAGACTAAAGAAATAGAAGTCGTCATCAAAATTTTGAGGAAAATCTTGAGAAATCGTTTAATGGTGGATAAGGGTAGTCTACGAAAACAGAAAATAGGTTCGAGAATTGGTTGAGTGTGGGGAAGGTGTTAAGCACCTTATGACACTCGTTCATCAGAATAGTTACCTAAAGTTTGTTGTGCTCTATTAATATAGTTTTATAATTATTTTAATTATTCCTTTTATATTCATGTGTTTAAAAAATGATAAAAATTAAGTGAGAAATATTTATTTATTTATTTATGAGGGAAGACTTAATTCAAAATTTAACTCTGATGCCTACGTACCCTATGGTGGGTAGAGCCGGGCAAATGGGTTTAACCCAACAGGCTAGCCCATTAACCCGTAATTTTTTGTGGTTTGGGTTGGCAAAATGAGCCCATTTAAAAAAACGGGTTGGGTTAGCCCGAACCATAAAATTATGCGGGTTAAACAGGCTAGCCCATAAATTTTTTTTTAGCTGAGGAGGGTTGAGCAATGTCCGGCTGCATAATGCACACACACACGCGGTCCACACTCCACACCAGTGCATAGTCCATACTCCATGCCGCCCAGCCCACAGTCATACACACACACGAACATGATCCAAAGTCCAATCCAGAGTCCACTCTCCAACATTCCAAGATTTAAGTCAGCAAGTCCAGTCTAAGTCTAGACAAGGCAAGCAAATTGAAACACGAATCCACCAGTCACCAGACCACCACACAAAGAAAGAAGGGCAAGGAAATCGGCAGACCGTAGCAGGCGTAGGCACACAAATCCACGAAGAAGAAAGGAAAACACTCTCACCGTGGAAGTCTAGAACTGGGCAAGGGAAATCGACAGATCGCAGATACACGAACTACACGAATTCATGAAGAAGAAAGGGCAACAGTAACACAGCAAAGCACACGAAGTCATGAACCCTAGATGCTCAGCTCAATAACTCAGAGTTCAGGCACAGACTCAGCTCGTCGACCTTCGGCAGACCTTCATTAGGTAGACCTTCGATCTAGTTTTGCTCAGAATTTGGTTTTGCTCAGTTCATCGATTTGCTCTGTTCTATGAATCTATCTTTCCCTCATTGCTTTTTGATCTCCTCTCTCACTCAACTTAATGGAATCTCGTTCAACTCAGCTCGCCGTCTCTGGTCTCGGCTAAGTTCTTCTTGGTCTCAGCTTCTCGGTCTCGGTGTCACGGTGTGGTTCTTTTCCTTCTCGGTCTCAGTCTCAGCTTATTCTCGTAGTATCTGTGACTTTGTCCAAGTCTCCAAGAGCCCACTCAGGAACTCACTAACTCTTCTCAGTATCCGTCTCCTCTTCCTCCTTTTCTTGTACATAGGTACTTTGACTTCCTCTATACCTCCCATGCTTCTGATTTTGTTCATAGGTTTCATTGTTTTTTTTAATTAGTGAACCATTGTAATGACTGGCACTAGATAATACTTTTGATTTAGATAATTTTATTTTATTGAATAAAATGTTTGCCTTGAGAGTGATTTCTGATTGATATAATTATATTTTTGTTAGATAAAATGTCTGCTGCATCTCAAAGAATTGATTCTATAGATGATGAGTTAGATTTTGAAGGGTCTGAAACTGATGATGAGTTAGAGTTAGACAATGCTAGTGTTGCTAATGCTGGACCCTTTAATACTAATGATGAAGAAAGAGAGGAATGTGGTGGGACTAATGAGAAAAAAAAAAGAAAGATAAAAAAAGAAAGATCTGCTGTTTGGAAGTCTTTTACCAAGGTAATTGTTAATGGGATACCAAAAGCTAAATGTCGTGGTTGTGGAATGCTATACAAGATAGGTAGTAGATCACATGGGACTTCTACTCTTCGCCGCCATGTTCAAACTTGTCAACCCCTCACAAAATATCATGATGTTGGTGTAATGATATTGAATCAAGAAGGAAAGCTTGTTTCTAGAAAAATTGATCTTGGAGTTTTAAGAGAGATGCTTACTATGGCTATTATTGAGTATGACCTTCCTTATTCTTATATTGAATACAAATGGGTAAGGAAAATACAGCAGTATTTAAATCTCGATGCCACTCTTTTTTCTAGAAAAACTGCTGTGTCAGATATTAGAAAGTTGTATGTTAGTCAAAAAAGAATTTTGAAGCAAACAATGTTAAAGAGTCCTGGTAGAATATGTTTAACATCTGATTGTTGGACTGCAATAACTTCACAAGGATACATATATTTAATTGCTCATTTTGTTGATGATAAGTGGAGGTTGAATAGCAAAATACTTTCTTTTTGTAAGATGGAGCCGCCACACTCTGGGGTTGAATTGGCGAGAAAAGTGCATGAATGCTTAATAGAGTGAGAAATTGATAAAAAAGTGTTTTCTATTACATTAGATAATGCTTCAGCAAATGACAACATGCAAGAAATATTGAGAGAGAGATTAAGTTGGCAAAATAGGTTGGTATGTAATGGAGAATTTTTCCATGTGAGATGTTGTGCCCACATCTTAAATTTAACAGTTCAAGATGGTTTGAAGGTGGCAAGTTCTACATTGCAAAAGATCAGGGAGAGCATTAAATATGTTAAACAATCAGAGATGAGAATGATCACTTTTAAGAGGTACATTGAGTAAGTTGGGGGTGTTGACACATCAATTGGCTTAAGAACAGATTGTCCCACTAGGTGGAATTCAACATATGCAATGCTTAAAAGTGCAATTAAATATCATCGTGCTTTTAGTAGCTTTTCTATAACTGACAAAAATTATAAGTTTAGCCCTTCCACTGAAGAATGGAGGAGAGCGAAGGAGATATGCACTTTATTGGAGCTCTTTGATGTGATTACCAACTTGATTTCAAGGACCTCTTATCCAACCTCAAACATCTATTTCATGCAAATAGCAAGAATTGAAATCTTGTTGAATGAACACATGATGAGTGATGACCCTACACTTCAAGAAATGGCAAGCAAAATGAAAGATAAATTTCACAAGTATTGGAGTGATTATAGTATGATTCTTACACTTGGTACTGTTCTTGATCCTCGAATGAAATTTGAAGTGATTGAACATTATTATCCTTTGATTGATCCTCTCCATGGCCATGCAAAGATTGAAACTATCAAGCTGAAGTTGATTTATATATTTGATCAATACAAAGAAATGAGTGGTGCACTATAATCATCTCCAACTAGTCAATCATCTCTGGGTCCGGGGTTATCAACATCAACTCATCAATCATCTATGGGTCCACATAACACTGGAAAAGAAAGGATGAAAAAAAGGCATTATCTCAAGCTTATGGTGTAAGTTTTTTAATTTTATCTATTTTTTCTTAGCACTTTATTTTGAACGACAATTTATTAATACTTGCTTGAATTCAATAGGATTTTCTTAAAGTAAAGATTCGTGATGCTTCTGCCATTACAAAGTCTAAATTGGATTATTATTTGGAAGAACCAACTCTTGATCTTAATGCATTTTTGGAAATGAATGTTTTGGATTATTGGAAGAATAATCAACATAGGTTTCCAATCCTTTCAAAAATTGCATGTGATATCTTGAGCATTCCGATCACTACAGTAGCTAGTGAATCGGCCTTCAGCATTGGCTCACGCGTTCTTACAAAGTATCAATCTTCACTCCTTCCAGAGAATGTTCAAGCTCTTATTTGTACAAGAAATTGGTTGCTTGGATGGAATTATGATGGTAATTTGTTCCAAAATAATATGTTTTATTATTGTTAATTTGTTTAACATACTTAATTTATAATATATGTTGTTGATCAATATGTGTGACAGGTGAAGCTTCTGATGAAGAGGATGATGATGACAATAGGGGTGAAGTTGAATTGATTATATCTAATGAGGATAATCATGTAGCAGAACAAGCTTCTAATGCCATCATTAATTTAATATGAGTTGTTTTAATTTAAGCATTGTCTTGAGTAGATTGTTAATTAGTTGTTTCATTTGAGTGGACTTTCTTTACACTTAAGAAGTGTTGATTAATGATTGTTAAACAATTTAAATGAGTGAGGATGATTGTAATTTTAGATGCTTGTTAGTTTGAATTTAATATTCATGCAAAAAAAAATTCAGCATATTTATGCGGGCTAGCCCGCGGGTTAGCTAGCCCGCAGTAAAATGGGCTGGGTTGGGTTTTTTAGCCTGGTCCAACCCAGCCCGCGCTGGCTAACCCACGGGCTAGCCCGCAACCCGTATGCCCAGTGCTGATGGTGGGGATTGAAGTTCACGTAGTTCAGGCTTTGAAAATCATTGGTAAAAAATTTTTTTTGAAGAGAAACTAATTAAAAATAATTCACTATTTTGCAAATAAAACAATTTCTGAAATTTTAATATGTGTGTTTTAAATTGCAAAAAAGTGATTTAATTTTAACTATTTTCTCAATTTTTTAAATTTTTGGAATAAAGAAAAGAAAAGGGTTTAAAAATTATTTTCATCTTTTATTAGTTTTTTTTAGAAAATTTAACTGTTATACCTACAGAGCCTTATTAGCTCATACAATAATACAGTTATTCTAAATATCTGCAGAGATTTCAAAATCTCTCACGATAAAAGAGTGAAATAGTATAAATATTTTAAGTATATTTTAATGCGTAATTATATAACTTATATTTCTAAACGTAGAAATCTTAATAGCTATACCTGCGAAGCCTTATTGACTTTTACAATAAGATGATCATTCTAAAGGTCTATAGACATTCAAAAATCTAATATGACCAAAAGATCTAATGCATTAATTCTATTAATTATTCTTATTATAAAAAGAACATTTATAATTTTATTTAAGAAATTTATTTATTTATTTATTGTATAAGTTAACGACCACGACATTTGCGAGGACTTATTATTCTTCACAATGAGGCGATTAAGCTAAATATCTATTGAGATTTTTTAAACCTCTCACGATATCATTCAAATGTTTTAATTGATTATATTTGTAAAATAATAAAAACAAACTCCTTCATTTAACCACACATTTAAAATCTCCATATGAAAATAATGTCATTTAAAATTAAAATTATCTTCAAGAATTAATCAATTAATATCAAATGGAAATACAAAATAATGTATGACTTTGAGAAATAAAGAAATAAAAATTAAATTTAGGTTGATTAATACTCTTTTATGCTAGAAGACAAACTTGAATCCAACTTATCACTTAGCTTAAAAATAAAATTTTTTGTTCAAAATCTTAGAATCAAAAGCTTCATGCGAAAGTATTATAACTAAATCAACCTCATTTTGTAAAAGCAAATAAACATATGTTAGAGCATATTTAAGGTAAGAGACATTATTTAGAGAAAGAAAAACACAATCCCTTTCATGATAAAAATCCACACACATATCTGTTGCAAGACTTTAGAATAGGAATGAGATAAAACAAGAACCAGTATAACTTATCGATGGTAGAGTAGAGAAAGGAGAAAAGAAACAACTCAATCTTCATACAGAGATGTAAAGGAATAGCTAGCTCCCAATTTTGAACTGAAATGCTGCTCTTTCGTCAAGTAAGACGCAGCCTTCATTCTTTTGGCACAGAGAAGGACCTCTCCTCCTTTTCCTCTCATCCTCATTTTCTTTTCTCTCATTTTTGTGCTCTTCTTCTCGGTATACTGAATTGTTTTCTCTCTTCTCTCAGTCTCGGTGCTCTCTTTTTTGTCTCAGTCTCTTCCTCTTTCTGCCTCTATTTTCTTCCTTTGGTCTCTCTTTTCTCTCCCCTTTCTATTTTTCCATGCTCTATTTTTTTAAGCTTTTTTTTCATCCTCCATCTGCGTCCCTTCCGTCCATCTCTTCCTCTTAGTCTCGATGCTCTTCTGTCCATGTTCTTTTCCCTCCTCTTGTGCTCTTGTTTTCTACGTTTTTATACTCTCGATCTTTCCCTCTCGGCTTCCTCTTTTTCTCCTTTTCTGCCATTTTCTTTTAATGCTTTGGCTTTTCAGCGTTTTTTTCGTGCATGCGTGGCTGTGTGTTTTGTTTTTCCCTTGCTCTTCGGCTT